CAATTATTGCAGTTAACAAATGAAATTATAATATATTTCCATAGATTATAGATGTATTAAGTAAGATAAATTAATCTTTTTGATAAATTAAACGCGTTAGTTTCAAAGATCTTATAATTTGAAAGTATAATCACGTATGTCGTCAGGAATTTTGCGTGGGAAAATTATTTCAAAATGTTTCCCATTCTGAAACATTGACTATGCATTGCCTTATGAGATCAGTTTAAATTAGTTTTATAATCTATATAATGGATAAAAAGTAATAAACTGTTACAAATAAATATATATACGAGATATTTTTACTTTATTCTGCTTAGAGATCTTTTTGTATATAATATTCTAATCCTTGAAAGTTTTAATTAGCACTTTAAAATAATTATTTTTTAATTTTTATTTTATATGACCCTCATAATATGAAGTAATTTTAAAACTTTCATTTTTTATAATAGAGTATCTTCATTAATTCTCTTTATATATATATATATATATATATGGTATTAATACGTTATATATGCAGTGTCAATTTAAAATATTTATAAAATTTCTAAGAATAATTATATATAAGTTATAATTTTTATACATCTCATTTTTTGTTGTTTGAATATAAAACTAGTTTTTAATTATCTGCGAAAAATTTAAAAATTAGTATTGGCTATTTATCTCATTTAAAGATGAATTAAAAAATTTACAAAGATCATGATATATTTATTTATTTGATAAGAATCTACAATCAGTATAAATATAAAATTATATCTTTGTAAAAGAAATAATACAAAATAGTATGTAATAAATTACAAATAGCTATTTTTTAATATTCTTTTACTAATAATTATTTTAGTACTTTTACTATATTTTATTAAATAAATATTCTAATAATAAATAGAATTTTATTATCTAATGAATATATTTAAATATTTAATTTTAGTTGAATTTAATTAAATATTGTATTGTGTTTTTCTATACACCTTTATAAATTTAAAAACTATAGTACGAACAATTTTCATTTCCTTTTTTTATAATCATGTTAAAAAGGATGAAAAAGGTTAAAAAGGTTTTTAAAAAGGATGAAATTTAACGAAGAAATTGTTATTTCTATTTATAAATTAGTTTATAATTTAAAGCATGATGAATTAGCATATATTTATTGCAAATAGACCATTGAACATCAATTAATATGCGGTTATACAAAAATTATATTTTAAATTTTCACTCTTAAATGCCTTAAGAATACATGGAAAATTATTTGTTAAAATAAGTTATAATTCATTATAATAATTCTTAATTCAATCGTTTTCCTGTGCTTTCCTTTTTCTTTTTAATTTGAATATTAGTTTTAATATATAGATATCTCGTATTTTAACTTTATGTTATTAATGTTAAACTATTTTAAAACTATTTATTTAAAAAAAAAAAACTTTTAGAATAATCAAGTGGACATTTTATTTAGACGTACTCGAAGTAGTAAGCATATATATAATGAAATTTTTTAAAATCTGAGTTTATATTAAATATTTTTTTTATGATTAAAGCACTATAGCTATTTTATAGTAAATGTAGAATATTATCAAATTTATCAAAAATACAAAAACATTATTATTATATTATATTTTAATAATCTTATATGTAGTATAAGAATATTGTGTTAATTATACATCTTCAAATTCAAGTATTTACTTTAACATCAGGTTGTCTGTTCAAAATTACACAAATTTAAATATTGATGAAATATTCAGAAAGCTATAATTATAGAGAATTTTTTAATTATTTCAATTTAAAACTTTTGTAGATTTAGTATATTCTGTGATATTACTAGTTTTGAAAAGGTACATATTTAATCCATATATATTTAATTATAATATTTTATTAGACATTTATTAGTCCATATTAATTAATTAAAGTTTAATAAGGTAAAATGAAAATTTTAATTATTAAGATATTATTTATTTAATATAGGTAAATATGGCCTCTTTAAATGTTCAAGAATGAAAATAAAGTATATTTAAATCCAATACAAATAAGTCACAATAATCATACAAATGAAAAACATTGTTCTAAACATTATTCTAAAATGGCTGAGAAAAAACGATAAAAGTAAAAAACTGTCTATTAATTTGATGTTTTTTAGCTCTGTATTTTTCTCATGTCTAAATGCATTAGTAATATAAAGTTATTTTATGTAGGAAAAATATGCATTATATTTGAGTCTGACACATTGACGTAGATATCACTGTATGCCGACAGGATGACGTCAGCTGACATATACTTTTATGGTGATATTGGTTTAACGTTTCCAATCATTCCTCGCACACCCCATAAGGCCACAGGCTTCGACCATACCAGTCCTCTTGTACAAACATAAAAAGCTCTTCATATACTTAATATATATAGAAAGAAAAATAATATAATGGTAGTTTATAAAAGTTCGTCATTGTGCATTTAATTATAACTTTTTTTTTTACATTCACTAAATTTGTATATTGTTTTCATAATATAAAAATCAAATATAATTCATAATAAAAGAATATTATAAAACATATATAGAGAATATATAAATGAATATATAAAGAATATTATAAAAATAGATTTGAGTCAAATGTTTAAAATCAATTTTTTAAATAAATTTTCTAAATATAATTTATTCCAATAAATTAATTTTAAATTGATATTTCACAAAATTTATATAGGATTGTTTCATTTATTTACACAATCATGTTAATACAACGTATTTTAGGTAACTATTTTTGTTGAGTATCTTTAATAAATATAGAAATAAATGGACAATAATATAAATATAACTTTAAGTTTCTTTTAATTTTGAAAATAAAATAATTTCAATTAAGATATGAAAAATAATTTGAAAATAATGAAATATAATTATTTTGTTAAATATTTTAAAGCATATACATGCCATCAACTTTATAAAAGCTATAGATCTTATCTATCTATGTAATACAATGTAAAGTGGAATTGCTAAAAGATTTTTGTTTTTATCTATACAGTTCATTTAAAATTAAACACATGAAACTTAAATATATGTAGTAACTATATTTAATAAAATCCTATTTTAAAAACTACTTACATAAATTTGAAGTTTTATGATAATTATCGCGATAAGAACAAAATTGTAAAAATATTATTTTATAGTGTGAATCGATTGTTCTTGTATAGATATATATTTTGTAAAATATTTCTTCTAGAAAATTATTATATATAACAATAATTGCAATATTTGCAAATAAATATTGTAATAATAATGTTTCTAATTTACTATATTTATTTATAAATTCCGAAAATACTTGAATACATATATCATTTTGAATAATGTATATCTAGTTTGCTTAGTTCGTATAATTTAAAAAATTTTAAAGAAATTTCTCATAGTATTATATAAAAAATACTTTTTTAATTTTGTTTTTTCTGTAACATTGTTATAATAACATTAAATCAGATAAACTAATACCGTAGTGTTACTTAAATAAGAGTATGTAATATGGAAGTCTATTATCGAATTATGTCATAGAAGTCAATTATTGAATGGCTCAGTTTTCGTTTTTCATTGAAATTAATTTTGCTCTTTGTATATTTTATTTCTTATTGCTTTAATATGTCTTTATGATATAAAATTTATTAAATGTTATAGAAGAGTTAGTTTGTATCAAATGCCGATGGACATATATTTAAAAGATTAATAGTAATTTAACAAAAAAATATAATAAGTTATTCAATCAACCAAAATATTTGAAAAAGTAATAAAATCATATGACAATATTATAATATAACAATTAATAATATTTTTCATTTTAATTCTGTTTAGTTCTGTTAACGCAGTATTAAGTAGTGAATGAAGTATTAAATAGTTGCTTTTTAAAGCTTTAAAGTATAAAATATATTAGGTTATGTTGATTATAGTATTTTTTAAATGTTACTGAATATTTAAAAACAGAATACGATGTTTAACAAATATCTATTTCTATTCATTCATCCTTTTACTGTTGAACCTACTAATATTATAAGAATATTTATCTTCTAAAATATATTACAGTGATTACAATAGATGATATTCACTTTACTCGTATTTGACGAAAATCTTAAAAATGCTACGAATAAAGCTGAAACTATACTTTTTATCTTAATTTTATCAATATTTTTTTATTATCAACGCCAGCTTATTAAGCGTTGTTGTGCAGTAAAATAAGCTTTCAGATATTTGATGTTACTACCTATATTTTTTTTTATTAAATTATCATTTGAATAATATATCTTATTGTTGGTAACATTTTTATTTGATTTAAAACAACTAATAATACCCTATCTGCATGTGTGACCATAATTAAAAAGCAAATTTGTAATCATGATATTCTATTTTAGTTTTGGTATTGGTAATTTACTAGATCATGATTTTATATATTTCATGTTGAAATGTAAAAAATTAGACATTTTAGACAGCCTAATAACTAAACTTTACTTTTTTTTTACAAAAAAAATATAAAATCGTAGATCAGATAATTTTATAAAATTATAAATACTATTATAATAAAACCATTTATTTACAAAAAATGTTATTTTGAAATTTAAAACATTCATTAAAAAAATATTTTTAATGGATGTCTTTTGAAGTGTATTAATATATTATTACTTTATATGACATAGTATACAAGATGAATCAATGATATTTTTTTAATAGTTTAATATATTTCATCACTTCATGACATTAAAAAATTATGTATTAAATTTGTAACAATTTTTAAATTTAATTAATTATATTTAAATTTATAAATTATTTATATACATATTTGTATTATTTTCATTAAATACAATTATGATATTTTAATAATTGTAATCGATATGGCTATGAAATACGAAAAAAATTAATTAGTTTATAATAAAAGAAATGTTTAATGTAATGAGTATCTTTAAGCGAAATTTTACTTATTTGAATGAAGTTTTAATATTTTATTAAATAATTCTTATTAATATTAGTTATTTGTTAATTTTTGTAGATCTCGGACATAGTAGTTGGTCAAGAATCGCATGTGACAGCACGAGAAGCGCTATTAGGATGGGCAAGAAGATCGACAGCTCGATACCCTGGTGTACGAGTTAGCGATTTTACATCATCGTGGCGTGACGGTTTGGCATTCAGTGCCCTTGTGCACAGAAACAGACCAGATCTTTTGGACTGGCGTAGCGCTCGCGCCTGGAAAGCGCGCGAGAGACTCGAACAGGTCTTTTACGTTGCTGAACGCGAATATGGTGTCACAAGACTCCTCGATCCTGAAGGTCAGTTTCATTAACATTAAATTATTCAAGTAAATGGTAAATAAAAACAAAAACGGTAGCAAAATAAATATATTGATATATATTTTTATAAATGAAGCTAAATAACCATGCAAACTATGCACATATGTCTTTTGTAATATTTTAACGACATATTTGTTATATATATTATATGTATTATACATATATAGGAATCATATTTATTGCAGTGTATTTTTTATTATTGCAATAAAAATATAGATAAATAGTACAATGTATAATTGTTTAACAAATGATTTTTCTTGTATTTATAGTAATATATGTATATATATTAGGTACAATAAAATAGAATTTCAATTTTTAGAAAATTTTCCATTTTATATTCAATAATACATAAAAAAGAAAAAGTCAATAAATTTATTTATGACTTAATTAATGTTAATTTATTACTGTTTTTATTCTATTTATTCATAAGCTTTATCGAAAATTCAAAAAATAAAAAAAAATATAACAATGTATGCAAAATAATTTTTAAAAATATATTTTTAGCTCTATCTTATCATATATACAGTTTTTAACATGTATTTTTTTATTACTTAATAAATAAATTTTTAATAATTTTTTTTATTATGATTACCAAAAACTCTGATCATTTTTTGTAGGTCAGTTGCCATTGCTCCAATTGATATGTAAAAGAAATAATAATAATTTAATTTAGATCAAGTACAAAAAAATTTTTTAATATTTTATAAAACACATACGTAAAAAAGCCAAAAAATTTATTCTTTAAATTTATAAATGTAAAAATACGAGATGAGTGTGTAGACAAATGTATTACAGATGTGGATACTCCAGAACCAGATGAAAAGTCATTAATAACTTATATATCATCATTATATGATGTATTTCCTGAACCTCCGACCATTCACCCTTTATATGATGTGGATGCTCAATGTCGTTTAAGCGAATATCATGATGTTGCAAGTAATTTACATCTATGGATGCGTGAAAAGATTTCGATGTCACAGGATCGTTATTTTCCGCCCACTCTGATAGAAATAAAGAAACTCGCAGCAGATAATATAAAGTTTAAAAATGAGGAAATTCCACTCCGCTATCGCGACAAACAGCGATTAGCCAACACATTTCGTGATCTGCAAAAATATTTTGATACCGTGGGTGAAATAGATATTGATCAAGAATTACATATAAATATTATTGAAAAGAATTGGAATCGTCTTATGATGCTACATCAAGAACGGGATCAAACAATTAATGATGAGATAAAAAGGTAAATTTGGTTCTTTATTATACAATATAACACTTTACACTGTAATCTCAATTCATATTTAACAAGTGCATTTATTCATTTTCATAATGATCAATAGACTCGAGCGATTACAACGACTCGCTGAAAAAGTTCATCGCGAAATGAAGTTAACTGATAATAGGTTAGAGGAGCTCGAACAACGAGTTGAAGATGAAGGTCGAAGGCTCGATCGTATCCACCCTTTAGAAGCTAAACATGGAGCAGATTTACTTGAACAGGACATTCGCAACACTGAAATTCAGGTACAAAATATTTTCACAGATGTACATACTCTTACGGAAGGAAAATATAGTCAAGCAATTGAACTGCACAAGCGAGTGCAGAAGCTACATCAACGTTGGGTAGCTCTACGCTCATTATTGCACAAACGACTGATGCAACCATTGTCACTTGTATCATTTCCTGTCGAAGAACGCGTGGTTACAAAACACCGGACAACTGTACACGAAACTCGTTTAGTTGATACTAATCCTGAATTTCGTATTCTCCATGACTATATAGATTGGTGCAAAAACAAATTCAAGCAAATTAATGAAGCAGAATTCGGTTCAGACCTACCAAGTGTTCAAATAGAGCTTGATGTCCATCAGCATGAACATAAGGCAATCGAAAACTTTTATGTTAACATTGAAAAAAGTATTCAGGCGAAGAGTAACTTTCATGGTGATGAACTCACATTATATAATCAGCATCTTAGTCAACTTCAGAAAATTTATGCAGAACTCAGTATCGTGTCTAACAAGCGTATGTCTGAACTTGAAACGCTTCACGATTTTATCCAGTCAGCTACTGGTGAAATTGTTTGGCTCAATGACAAAGAGGAAACGGAGCTTACTCGCGACTGGAGTGATAATAATCTTAACCTTCATAGTGTTGAGCAATACTACGAGGTAAATAGTTATCACATATATTTTATCTTCCTTATCCTAATTTATGTAAACTCATAATGAAATATTTTTTAATATTTTACAAGCAAACGTATGGTCTTGGAATAGAGGTAAATTTATTGTGTCAAATATTTTTCAATTTAAACTTTATATCGTACATATACATTAAATGATGTTTTAAAAGCAAAATATTACCCTATAATATCAAAAATAAATTGAATTTTTTTAAAATTTTTATAATAAAATTAATGAAATCATTAAAAATTTATAAGTGATATTTATTATATTATCTTTAAAATAACAAAAACCATTTTAAAAAATTTCATAGTATATGTTAGTAATATAGATACATATGATGATGAAGGTAACAGCAATTTTGAGGAGTATATTATTGAAAAGTTTTCTCATCTGATATTGGAATTAAAATAAAAAATAGATTTTAATTGAAATTTATAAAGCTTTTGTAAATTAAAAAATTATTATTGCTTGTTGTTCTTTAACTTTTTTATTGTTATAATTCTTTAACCGTAAAATGTCAATATTACTAATAATATAATATAAATTTTAAATAGTCTTTGATGAGCGACCTTGAGAAGCGTGAAATTCAATTCTCAGCTGTACAAGATCGTGGAGAAAGTCTAGTATTACAACATCATTTGGCATCTAAGACTATTGAAGCCTATATGTCAGCAATGCAAAGCCAATGGGCTTGGCTGTTACAGTTAACGCTTTGCCTTGAAGTTCACCTAAAACATGCTTCACAAAGTCAACAGTTCTTCACTGAAATACAGCAAGTTGGACAGTGGATCACAAAGAAAGATGAATTATTAAATACTATTTATTCACAGTCGGAATTTAATTTAAATGATGGCGAGCGCTTACTTAAAGGCATGCAAGAATTAAGGGAAGAACTAAATAACTATGGAGATTGTGTTCATAGACTCGTCGAACAGGCAAAAGATATTATTCCCATGAAACAACGTAAGCAACCAGTTACGCGGCCTTTACAAATCACATGCATTTGTAGCTATAAGCAAGTTAATGTAATTATAATTATGAATAAGTCATTAATAATTAAGAAATAAAGAAAATAATTTATATTGATTGAATGTATACTTTAAATATAATTACTTATATTATATTTGATTTTAGATGTCTGTAGAAAAGAACGAACAATGTATTTTATATGATAATTCTGGCAGAATTAAATGGAGAATTAAAAACTCCCAGGGAATTGAATCACCAGTACCGGGTGTCTGTTTTTCATTTCAACCACCAGACAAAGAAGCGCTCGATACCGTCGAAAAACTAAGAAGACAATATGAAAAAAGCGTGGCACTTTGGCAACGTAAACAACTACGTCTTAGACAAAACATGATCTTCGCTACTATAAAAGTATGTAATTTATTTTTTATTTCAACAAATTTCTATAAGTAATAAAATTATTGGCTTTGTACTTTCAGAAATCTTAAAAAAACAACTTAATAATTTATAATTTATATTTGATCTTTATATCATTATTTAACAACAAAATACTTAAATATTTTATATGCTGTATTGTTTTAACTTACAGTTAATTTAAAAATTAATAAAAAATTATAAATATTTAAGTTAAAATTCTCTTTACTTTAGTTATTTTGACTTTCTGTTCATTGTTATAATGTAACAATTTTATTTAAGATTAAAAATGTAACGATTATTAAGATTATAATGTAAAAAAAAATTCGACTAAAAGGTTATAGGATTTCACTTTTAATGTTACAATATTCGTTTTATTTGTTATCAGACACTAAATGATTATTATTTATAATTATAATTTAAGTATTTATCCTTTATGTTTCATTGATTATAAATTAATCACAAAATAAATTAATGTATTCCTATTATATTAAAATATATACATAACTAAATAACAACACATAGTAATATGTAAATTTTCTGTAAATTTTCTGCCATTAAGATATTTGATATTATTTAACTAATTAATTAAAATTATACATTTTTGCATGTAAATATTTTATTTTCTATTCAATAATTTTAAATACGTTTTATCTTCAATATAATTTATTCTTATTCTTATTATATATTGGTATATTTTACTTGTCTTATTAAATTGAGGGATATCAAAATACAATAGCGTGTTTCATCATATATACTATTTTTGGATAAAATTTTAATTTTACAAATTTTAAAGCATAGTTTGAAATTTTATAAAATTATTTGTTTCTTATTTTTTATCATGATAGATTTTTATATGTTATTAAAAATAATTATTAATATAAAAGATAAAAATTAATTAAATAAAAAACTTATAGAAATATATTATGAATCCAAATTTTTAAACAAATAAATATAACATATATAAATTTTAAATAAGAATCTTGTAAATACAGGTTGTCAAAGAGTGGACTTTACAAGAATTTTTAGACATGGGACAGGAGCAACGCACTGCTATTAAAAAAGCCTTGAACGAAGATGCAGATAAACTTTTAGCAGAGGGTGATCCCTCAGATCCACAGTTACGAAGATTAAAACGCGAGATGATCGAGGTAAATCGACTATTTGATGACTTTGAAAAGCGCGCAAGAGCTGAAGAAGAATCACGGCATGCTGGGCATATTTTTACTGAGCAGATCTCTTTACTTCAAGAGGCTTTAAATGATGCTGAAAAAATCTTGAATGTTCGTATTTCGACTGCCCTACCACGTGATTTAGATAATTTAGAACATCTTGTGCTTGAACATACAAACAACGAACAACAATTACAACAACTAACATCAGATGTTGAACAGCTACAGGAAACGTTTCGTAGTATTACTTTTAAAACTCCTCAAATGAAGAGTAAGCTCGATAATATTATGAACAAATGGAGTCACATTTGGGATCTAAGTAATATCTATATTGAACAACTTAAATGCATGGATATCCTATTAAATAGATTAGATGAAAATACAACTACAATATCTGAATTCGAGATCAAATTGGCGTCATTTGACGAACTATCGGCTGAAGTGAAAGATTTACAAAATACCCTTGAAGATTTAATGATTCTACAGAACTCAATAGTTCAACAACAAATGCTCATTGACCAATTGAATGATGATGCACATACTGCTAGACGACTTGTTGAAAAATCTCGACTTAATCATTGTGGACCTCATGGAGATATGGATAGATTGGATTTGGAAATCAATAAACTAAATGCTAGATGGACCAACATCTGTGGACAACTTGTAGATAGGCTTCGCAGTGCAGAAACTGCCTACAGTCTTTCTCAACAATATCAAACTTCTTATCATAATGAAATAAACTTGATTGATGAGAGTTATAACAGGGTTGAAAATATACCTTCAATTCAGAATCAGGCCGAAGAATTTGAGATAAAGGTTGTACTAATTCTTTATGTAATAAATTTAATTATTTGGCAAATTTATTAATAATTGTACAATCATTAATATTTTAGAGTTTACTCAACAAAGTAACTGAACGAGCTACTGCTATTGAATCAATTAACGTTATGGGAGGTCGACTGATTCGTGAAGGAAAGGTAATATGATTATATTTAAAAAAAATAGCTTTATCATAGTTATGAATGATAGTTGTGTGAGTGGCATATTACTACTATAAAAAATTATATCTCCATTCCCTTTCATTGTATTTTATTAATTGTGAGAGTTTCTTATGAATTTTTTTTATTTTACTGTTAATTATTAAAAATCCTATTATATATTGTTAATGTAATGTAGATCATTAATAAAGGATGATAAATTTTGCAATATTATTTTATTAAATAGTAATTATAACAATTAACTGTTAAATATAGAATACTATTAACTAACAGTATTTACTAATAATATTATCTTAATTGGTGAATAAATAACTGTTCAAATATTATTTGATTGTGAAAAAAAATGAGTACGATAAGATGAAACAAAAATTTATATCAATCTAACTAATATATATGAAAGTTGTGTAGAAATATTTTTACTCATAAATTTAATTGCCAGTAAAATTTATTAATTATTCAATTATAATAATTTTTTATTTAAAATATAATTTTTTTGCTTATTTAATATTTTTCACTCATATATATCAAGACATTTTTTACATATATTACTACACTTTATTAAAAATGCATTCTTGCATTTATTGTTATACATGTTATACAATCATGCATTCATTAAAAAGTTATATAATAATATTACTTGTTATATTTGGAACTTACTATAAAAAAAATAATATTATCAGTTTTTATGCATATCATATTATTTATCAATCATAATTTACGATTATTTGGTATTAAAAATAGTATAAATAATTTAGTTAACGCAAAATTATCTAATTCATGTTTTTTTCTTTATATTTTACATATAATTCTTAAGGATTGGGAACCAGTTGTTAAGAAAATTATTTTTTTTAATGTTTACATTTAATGTAGTATTGTATGTACATATAATTCTTAATATACAAGCATATGCATATATTAACTAATATTATAGGCATAAAAAATTAAAAAATAATTTACTACAATATATTTTAGTATGTTAAATTTTATTACAATATAAATTATTAAGAATAGTGAATAAAATTTCTTCAGTTGAAAATCTTAGAAATTATGGTTCGAGTAATTTTTAAAACAATTTTTCAATGCTGTTAAATTATAATAAAATTTTCTTTCTTACTTTTCTTAAAAATCAATACATAAACCCTCTATGATTTGATTTTTTAAATAAAATTCTACTTATTAAATTATTTATATATAATATATTATTTTAAATTCTATTGTAATGAATTAGAATTTCTATTATAATTTCATAACTCTTTTAAAAGAATTTGAATAACGTTACGAAATCTTACATTTTTTTATTTATACTAAATACATTATGCTAAATTTATTAATTATTTAAATTATTACAGTAAAATTATTATATAATTAAAACATAAAAAATAACAAAACTTAGGAAATAATTATGTAAAGTTATAAGTACACAATATAGTAAATTATTTGAAATTAAGAGAAATTTGCAAAATCTACTTTTTTGAAATGGCAGCAACTAAAATCGAATTCAATTAACCTTTAATGGCACTAACTAAATCCATAGATTTATGGTCAGAAATTGCGAGTGTTCAAGCAACAATTAGAAGAATCGTGTCCATCTTTGGATGCTTCGGTGAAAAGACCGCGAAGAGATAGTAATATATTAATTGATAGCATAACACAAGACCTCGATACAATCAACAAAAGATATACGGGTCTAGTCGGTGTTCTTCAAGAACGTGTAAGAAAATTCGTTTCAACTTATGCTGAAACCTCAAACGTACAGGTAAGTCAAATTATTAACTTCCATTGATTATGCTGCCTGTACAGTTTTATTTATAAATTATATATTACTATTATTAGTAATTACAATAATATATTATTTAATATCGGTGTTACATTGAAAATGTATAAAAATACTACAGAAAATGGAAACATTTACTTTTATATATTATATATACAAATTATAATCTATTAAAAACTAGTTTACATATAATTCATTCAAAAATTCAAGTGCGTAGATTAATGAATGAAATAAATTTTTTTTTAATAACATGAGAAGTTTCATGAATTTATGTTTAATATTACCATAAAATTTAGTCCTTAAAAAATTCCAAAAGTGTTGCTTTTGTATTAATCAAGAGTTATTGAAAAAAGATAAAGTATAAAGATAAAGCCAGTTCTGTATCGATAATGTAATATAAATTGTAGTATAATAATTTAAATAACTTGATTAAAAACTTCATAATAAAATTGTATTAATGGCAACACAAAATAAAATTGAGCTTTTTTACAAATTTAATTTTAGAATCAAAAGTTCTTAATTTAATTATTTTATAAATAATTTAAATATTAAGTTATGACAATGTAAATATCTTATATTTTCAAGATTAGCCAAGTACTTTACAATAGCTGAATTTATTTATAAATGTAAATGAAATTTCTAATAAGTCTGATTCTTATTAAATAAAATAATTTCTATTAGAAGTATATTTGTATATTTGTTTTATTTTTTTTTTATTTTAGAAACCCATAAAATATTTCAATAAAGTTAAAATTAATATATATATATTTTTTTTTTTATTTATTATATACACTTAAATATTACTTTATTATAGTACGTTTTAAAAAGTTGAATAAATATATTATTTGCGTATTAAATGTGTTAAAATTAACGGTAACATTAAAAAAGCTTTTTAGTTTCTTCAGAATTGATAAGATCAAATCAATTTTGTAACCCTAAAAATAATTTATTGTATTCTGTGATAGGTAAATAAATATTATTTATTTAATTTAATAATATTAGAAATTAGTAATTCCGATTTCAAATACTATATGAACAAAATAAAAAATTCTAATGATAAAAATAATAAAAACGTAAATGTTATCCTTCTAACAAAATGTATACATTACAAATTTGAGAAAAACACCTTTTTATTCATGCTTTTAGTTGCACCTTTTATAAAAATACATTTAAAAATATCGCAACAGAAATTTTAATAAAAACTAATTTTAAGTTAAACGGGTAAGAAAACTTGAAAATTTAAGATTGCTAATAGTAAACGACATTAATTTAATAAAAATGTATATAATGTCTAATTTACATAAACAATATTTGGTAATAATCAATAAAAATCTTTTGTAATCTAAATAAACATTAGTATACATTTATAAAAAAAGTTAACAAATTGTAGCTTTTAGATATGATAAACAATAATCAATTTAAATAATGAAATAAAAAAAATGTTAATTGAAATTATTAGCTATTAAATATAAATATGTGTAAATTTCAAGTTATATATATATACACTACTATATTTTAAAATAATTATCCTTAACCTTGAATTTATTAAAATTATACAAAAGTAAAACATAATTTTAATAATGTAAGAGTATAAAATAAAATATCTTGTATTACAAATGAAAATTCACAACTATTAAACAGTTTTTTCTAATCTTTTTTTATCATTTTGTGTAAATTTAATTATAAGAAACAATAATTTTCAAAAATATTTGTACAATGCAATTTTCAACATTTAACAATGTATTTCTAATCATCATCTATAACAAAAGTATTCATATCGAATATCTATTTTCATCGAATTTTTTTCATTGTAAGTGTATCAATAGTTAGAAATATATGACATTTTCTCCCGTATTAAATATAGAAAATTTGCTTTAAATTATATATCGATGTAATTAACGAAAAATGAGAAGCTAATTATTTTTTTATATGTCTTGTCTTTGGATTAACGAATGTTTGACCTTTTCATTTTTATACAACTTAGAAAATAAATACTACTTATTAAATTAGTTGTTTGACGTCTATTATTAATAAATGAATGTAAAATATATTAATAAAAAAGTGTCAGTAATTTAATAAATAGCATTAAAATATATAATTGTAATTTTCGTAATTTGCTAAAGATGTTTTTTATTAATATTTTTATTATTGATTTAGCTATAAAAATTTGTTTTTACTAATTAATTTTTATAAATTGTTCATAATTTGTATGTGTATTTTATATAAGATATATCTATTATACATATCTATCTATAGATATATATAGTATACAACTGAAATTTCTGTTTAATTTTACTATGAACGTAATTTGAATTTATAAATGGTTTTTGTATTCATTGTCATCGATAAGCTGACGTTTTCCATATATTTTAATTGGCAACTTTATAATGTTTTTATAATTTTGTGTGTTATAGCAAGCTATTGAAGAACAATACAAAAAATGTAATGAAGCCATTACAACTTTGTTGAAATGGGTCAACGAAATAGAAGACAAATTAGCTTATCAAGACGTTGTCAGCGAAGATATTCAAGAGCTTAGTAATCAAATGAATAACTTAAAGGTAAAAGGGTTATATATATATATATATATATATATATGAATAACATTCAATAATTTTTATCAAATAAAAATAATGGGATATTAATTTAATTACTTAATTCCAAATAAAGTTTATTAAATTTTTGTTTAAATCTTAAAAAATAAAAAAATTTAAATACGATAAAATTATATATTATTTTATCCTATTGCTATTTTATTTGTTATATATAATAATCATTTAATTAAAGTAAGCGATCACTTTTTACTATTTTTTACTATTTATTATTTTTATTTAATTCCAGCAATTAAAAATAGATATTGAAGCTCATGGACTTCTAATTTCAACATGTAATGATCAAATAAGACAACTTACACTTACTGACGTGGGCGACATCTTTTCCAATGATGAAATATCAACATTGGAAATAAATGGACGATCTTTAAAGACTCGATTTGATAAAATTTCAGATCGAACAGATAAACTACTTAAAAGACTCTTAGGTGCCAGAGATGAACTTACTAAATTCAAGTAAGTATGCAAAAATTTAATAGTATATAGATTGAATTTTCGGAATATAAATAAAATAAAACGAAATAAAAATTTGATTAAAAATTGTAATATAGAAATGAAACTACAACGTTCTTCACGTGGTTAGACAAATCTCAAAAAATACTAGTTGATAAAGAACGTTCACTGAGCGATCTAAATAATTTAATGAATAATATTGACATAAATCGAGATTTTGTCAGTGATATAATAGCTCATCAAGCCGATTTGCGTTTTATTACCATGGCTGCACAAAAATTTGTTGACGAGAGCAAAGAATACTTGCATATTCTTAATGACTTCAGAACGAGCATACCTCAACGATTATCGTATAAGGAGTTAATTTCCAGTCAAAACTCAGCTGTACGAAATGAAGTGTTAATTATTACTAGTCATTACAAAGAGTTGCTTTCTCGAGCAAATATCTTATCTGATCGATTGTCAGGGATTAATGGGAGACAACGAGATTATCAAGATGCACTCGACAAGGTTAATTTATGGTTAAAAGAATTTGAACCTAAAGCACATAAAATAGTCTCCGATCCTGTAGCACTTGATCCAAAACAAGTTGAAGATCAATTAGTGAAGGCGAAGGCTATTTATAACGAATTTTTGCCTAATGAATGTCTTATTAATAACGTTAAAACTAGTCTCCAGATGTTGTTAAGATATCTAGATGATCAGCTCACTCCAATTGAAATTAATATACTCGAAGAACCTGTTCGTGAACTGGAAAATAAATACAAACAATATAATATTATGCTTGCTAATAAATGCCAAGAACTTGATACTGCATTGGTCCAATGTCAAGGAATACAAGATACTTTGGATAATCTAATCGTTTGGCTAAATAACGCGGAGAGTCAATACAAGTAAACATTTTCAAAATTGTTTTGATAACTTTTATAAGGTGTTAACTTCTCTAATTGTTATTGAACTAATTTTAATATTTTAGGAATCTTTCTCGGCCAGCGAGTTTGCAAAAGGAGCGTTTAGAAGAACAACAACGTGAGCAACGTTTGTTACAAGCAGATTTGGATAGCCATTGCATCAGTATAGAAGCTGTAAGCACTATTGTTGAGGAACTTCTTAAGAGTTCAAATAATGTAAGAGTTGCTAAGAGTAATGAAAGTAAGCTTAAAGATATTCAAAATAGATTTGAAAAACTTATGGATAAATCAATTCATCGAAGTGAATATCTCGACAATATATCTCAAGATCTTAATAAATTTTATATTGGAAGTATCAAGTTTGATAGTTGGTATGGTCGTATGATTGAACTTCTTGAATCAAAAGATTTACATAAGCTTAATATATCCGAATATGAAGGACAAATGATACAACTTTTCGGCAATCGAGAAGATCAACGTGTCGATTATGAGAGTCTTATTCACATTGGAAAGAACTTAACATCTAAAAAAGATATAACAGATGCTGTATTAATCAGAGATCAAATGAAAATTATAGAATCCCAATGGAAAGGGCTTGGCAACCTTCTTGATGAAAAACATCGATTAAGCAAGTCATGTGCAGAACGGCTTTCTGCTTATGAAAAGCTTCATGAGCACGTCCTAGATTGGTTGAATCACTGCGAAAATCGAGTGCAATTGTTAGATACAGTAGCTGTAAATCTGGAAAAAATTAAACAACAAATTGAGGAATTAAAACCTATACAAATAGACTATCGGAGTTATAGTAATACTATCGATAAAATTAATGATATAGGTATTGCCTACGATAATTTAATAAAAGAACGAAGTAACAGTCCCATGAGGCGGCGTGGCAGCAGCAGTCCCATAAAAAGGCCAAACATTCCTAGTCCATGTATGATTATTCTATCTAATTATTTTTCGTTCATTATTTTAATAATTTTTTTATTTTCATAAAACGTATCACTTTTTCTACAATATTCACTTTTTCCATTTCAATAATCTTTTATTTCTAATATGTTGTATTATGTTCTTTAATATTTAATATTTTATTAGTACACCGAATGTCACAAGATGGCCGTTCACCTTCCCCTACTAAATCTTATGTAACTCAAAGTCCGATCTCTCCAGGCGGTAGCAGTGGTTTTAGTAGTCGACGTTCCAGCCAAGATGGTTTCCATTTAGAGGAACTATCTCTAGTTCAACAACAACTTTCTGAAATCAATAATCGTTATGGATTACTAGGAGTAAAGATATCTGATCGTCAAAATGAACTTGATAATAGTCAAGAAGAATTAAGAAAATATATAGAAAATTTAAAAATATTATCAAAATTTCTTGATAAGGTAATATTATATATTTTAAAAATAATCTATGTAAAATATAAAACATGTTATATTTACTTATAGATTCAACGTAAACAACCAAAGGATATTATTCCAAAAACAAAAGAAGAATCTGATAAAACAGTTAAACAAATTAAATTTGTGATTGAAGAAATGTATGAAAAGCAATCTCTTCTGGATAGTACAAAAATCCAAATACGTGACCTTGTAAGACGTAAAACTAATGCCAGTGGAGCTAATGAATTGAATAATGAACTTGAAGATGTTGTTAATTGCTGGAAAGCAATATCGATAAAATGTAAAGAGAGAATAAAATTCCTTGAAAATATCAAAGAACTTTATGATACTCATGAAGCTTTAAACTCTTGGCTTGGAGTAAAAGAAAAAATGTTGGGAGCCTTAGGTCCTATTTCGTCAGATCCAAGAATAGTGGCTAGTCAAGTACAACAAGTCCAAGTTCTTCGAGAAGAATTTAAAACTCAACAACCCCAACTCGATCATTTAATAGAAGTTGGAGAAAATGTACTTGTTAAAATATCAATTGATTCATCAGATGGACATCAAATAAGACTTAAATTAAATAATATTCTGCAAAGGTGGGCTGATCAATTAAGTCGTCTTGAAGAACGGGCTCAAAGCCTCGGTGATGCAGTTGATACCAGTCGTGAATTCGACGCTAGTCTTAATCGTCTACCCGACGCTTTGCAAAAAATTTCAGACAATTTAGATGATCTTCCCCTTGATAAGGATCCAGAAGAACAATTGCGTAAAATTGAACATATAGAAAGACAACTAGAAGGTCAACGACCACTATTGGCTGACGCTGAATCTGCTGCTGCACAACTTTGCGATGTATTAAGTGATCCAACTTCAAAATCTGATATTCAAGGAAAACTTGCATTAGTTGGAAAACTTTACAATAATTTACAGAAAAAGGTGGATTATAGAAAAGCTGAGATTGAAGGAAATCTCAAAGATGAGAGGCAATTTGAGGTATCTTGTAGTAAAACTCTAGGATGGCTTTCAGATGAACTCGGCAATATGTCTGAAAAATTGTTGGTATCTGCTAATCGCGAAATTCTTCAGCAACAACTTGATCATCATGAGGTATTTTAAATCAAAATATAATATACAAATTTTAATATTTTCATCAAAACAGTATTTACATTGTATTTTTGTATTTTATTATTCATGTGTTATTAATTTTCTAAATATAAATATTTATATATTGTGTGTTTTGTAGCCAATCTACAGAAATGTTATGAGTAAAGAGCATGAAGTTATTATGTTGTTAAATAAAGGCCGTGACAATCTCATAAAATCTCAAAAAATTGAAAATAGAAACCTTCAACGAGACGTAGATAGAATGCAATCACAATGGGACCGACTAAAAAAAGATATGCTTGATAGGCACACAAAATTACAGACTTGTACATCACATAGTAATAAGTATTACAAGACTCAAAATGTATTTTATCCATGGCTACGATTGGCCGAAGATAAACTTGAAAGTTTAAATTCTACCTCATTTAAGCGTAAGGATATCGAAAAGCAATTAAAAGAACTGGCATCTTTTAGAAATGAAGTGTGGAAAAAATCTGGTGAGTTCGAAAATAATAATAGTCTCGCAGAGACTTTTATAAGCGCTTGCGATATTGACAAAGACGTTGTTAAAAGTGAACTTAATACAGTGAAAACGCGCTGGGATAAATTAAATAATGGTAATTTGAATTTATAAATTAAATATTTAACGTTTATAACATGTAAGCTTGGTTAACATTTTAATAATTTTTATATTAGATCTGTTAGAACAAACACAGTCACTGGAAGATACTGCTAGACATTTAACAAACTTTAATGAAAATTTACGTGATTTAGAGCATTGTTTACAACGATGTGAAGATAAACTTGCATCTCATGATGCTCTTGGAGGAGCTGCCAAGGATCCAAAATTACTTGATCGGATCAAGGTAAATTATATGAAAATTATTTTTACTCATATATTTAATGGTGTTAAAATATATAAAACGTTTTTTAGAATTTACGAGAAGAAACTGTAACTCTGAAACGACCACTCTCAGCTGTACAGCAACAGGCAACGGATTTAATACATAAAGCTGGTGATCAAGGAGTAGATGCAACTCATTTGCAAGATGAAGTAGATAGTATTTACGACCGAATTGAAGATCTACAAGCTAAATTAGATGATAGGTGTAATGAGCTTCAAAGTGCAGCAACAGCCGTCGCTCAATTTACAGATATTCTTCGTAATCTTAATCAAGAATTATCTAATTTGGAAATGGAATTAGATGCTCTTAAGCCTTCTGGTCGTGATATACGAATCGTACGTGAACAGATCGAAAAGATTAGAGAGTTTGTAAGTAAAATTAATAAACTGTCTGTTGAAGTGACAAAATTGGTAAATAGTGGTGAAAATTTGGTGGATTCTGGCTTTGCCACCGATGCTGTAGCAACAAGAGAGCAGATCGAATTATTAAAAAGACAGCTTTCAAAGTTTGAAGAACGTGTACATGATCGTAAAGTAGAACTTAATAATATACTCAGCAGATTACAGCAATTTTGTCAAATTCATGGCAATATTATAGATGATATAAATAACGTTCATGAACTGTTTACAAAAATGAAACCAGTAGCATCTGATGTTGATTCTATTCGTGCACAGCAAGATGATTTCAGAGCTTTAAAAACCGAAAGAATAGAACCAATTAGTCGATCAATTGACAACTGTAATTCTATTGGTCAAGGACTCATTCAAACTGCTGGACGAGACGTCAATACCAGCAATATTGAAAGGGATTTGGATAAAATGAATGAAAAATGGAACAACTTGAAAGAAAGGGTTAGTACAGTTGTATGAAACTTAAGTTTTTATATAAATTTAAATATATTAATTAATAGTTTTTAAATACCTAGTTAAGCGAACGAGATCGACGTTTGGACGTTGGACTACTACAGTCAGGTAAATTCCAAGAAGCGCTTGATGGACTAGCAAAATGGCTTACTGACACAGAAGAGATGGTTACCAATCAAAAATCTCCATCATCGGACTACAAAGTTGCAAAAGCACAATTGCAAGAGCAAAAATTTTTAAAGAAGATGCTGCTCGATCGACAGAATTCAATTTCATCATTGTATAAAATGGGTCAAGATGTAGTTGCAAGTGGCGATTCGAAAGAGCGTAAAACCATCGAAAAACAGTTAAGAAATTTAATGGGTCGATTTGATAACTTGACAGAGGGTGCAGTTGAACGAATGCTATCTCTTGAGCGCGCTATGGCTGTAGCTAAAGAATTTCAAGATAAATTAATGCCAATGATCGGTTGGCTTGAGCGCTGTGAAAAAAAAATTCGTGAAATGGAACTCGTGCCAACAGATGAGGAGAGAATACAACAGTGTATTGATGAACATTCACATTTACATGAAGATATACTTTCAAAAAAAATCAACTTCGGTGAACTCACCGATATTGCAAGTACACTTATGGCTCTTGTTGGTGAAGAAGAAGCAACTGGTCTAGCAGATAAATTACAGGAAGTTGCCGATCGATATTCAGTGCTCGTTGAACGATCTGAGGCTCTTTTTGAATTATTACAACATTCTAAAAAAGGTTTGCGTCATTTAGTACTTAGCTATCAAGAACTTCAGATCTGGTTGGAAAGTATGGAAACTCAGTTAAGCAAATATCGGATACTCACTGTTCACACAGAGCGATTACTTCAACAATTCGAGGACCTTTCAGATCTTAACGAAGAACTTGGATCACGGCGAATTGCACTCAATGATACAACAGAAGCTGGACTTGAACTTATGCGACATATTTCTGCGGATGAAGCATTGCAACTGAAAGATAAACTTGACTCATTACGACGACGTTATAGTGAGTTATCAATAAGAAATACAGAGCTTTTAGAACGAGCTCAAGAAATACTTCCGCTTGTACGACAATTTCACGAAAATCATAGTCGCCTTATGGATTGGATGCAGACTGCCGAGAATATGTTGCAAGTAGCCGAGTCAGATGAACAAGATCTTATTCGTCTTGAGTTTGAGGTTACTGAAATCCGAGCGGTGCTTGATCGTATTAATATACTCGGGCCACAACTCTGTCAAGCTTCCCCTGGTGAAGGTGCTGCAAGTATTGAGGCGCTCGTAATGCGTGATAATCGACGTTTCGATACAATAGCTGAACAAATTCAGCGGAAGGCTGAACGATTACATCTGAATAAACAACGAGCTCTTGAGCTTGTCGGTGATACCGAAGAATTGCTGGAGTGGTTTCGTGAAGCTGATTGTCAATTACGTGACGCAGAACGACCAAGTGGTGAACCTGAAGTTGCTCGCATTCAATTGAAAGAACATCGCGCACTTAACGATGATGTATCTGGACAACGTAGTCGTGCACGTGACATTTTATCAGCTGCTAAACGATTACTACGTGAACTTGGTCAACATGAGGATAGTGTGTCAATTCGTGATCGTGCGGAGGAATTACGGGAACTTGCCGATACTGTGGGAGTACTTGCAGCAGAGCGTTTAGCCGCTCTTGAACAAGCGTTGCCATTGGCTGAACATTTGCGCGACAGTCATTTAGGATTAGTTGCCTGGCTTGAAGAAGCCGAACAACAAGTATCAGCTTTACCAATGCCTGCTCTACGTCCAGAACTTATAGCATTACAACAGGATCGAAATGAATTACTATTACAAAGTATTACTGAACATAGACCACTCATTGAGAAACTAAATAAAACAGGAGAAGCATTAATGCATCTTTGTACTGAAGAAGAATCTGATCGATTACAAGAACTTGTCGATGGGGATAATGTACGATATACGGCCTTACGTACTGAATTACGTCTTCGACAAAAAGCACTTGAAGCTGCGCTACAAGAGTCATCTCAATTTTCTGACAAACTCGAAGGAATGTTGCGTGCTCTTTCTGGTACAGCTGAACAAGCGTGTACAACCGAACCTGTAAGTGCGCATCCAACTCGACTTCGTGATCAATTGGAAGAAAATGCAGCGCTTGCCGATGAATTAGCACAACGATCAGAAGCATTTGCTGCAGTATGTCGTGCAGCTGATGACGTTATCAATAAAGCTGCTGGTCGTTCAGATCCTGCAGTGCGTGATATAAGACGTAAGCTAGATAAACTCAATAGCCTTTGGATAGATGTACATAAGACGACGAGCGATCGAGCACACAGTTTGGATGACGCATTAACGGTAGCGGAGCGTTTTTGGTCAGAGTTATCAGGTGTTATGTTAACATTGGCAGAACTACAGGATGCATTGGCTAGTCAGGCTCCACCAGCAGCCCAACCAATTGCTATCGAGCGACAACAAGTAGCGCTGCATGAAATTCGCCAAGAAATAGACCAAACTAAACCAGATGTTGAACAAGTCCGTCAATCAGGCCAGGAATTGATGGGTTTATGTGGTGAACCAGATAAACCAGAAGTACGAAAGCACATCGAAGACCTTGATCAAGCATGGGATAATGTTACAGCACTTTATGCCCGTCGCGAGGAAAATCTCATTGATGCTATGGAGAAAGCCATGGAATTTCATGGTACACTTGATGATTTACATACTTTCCTTAAAGAAGCTGAAAAAAACTTTGTACACATGGGAGCACTTGGCAGTGACATTGATGAAATAAAAAAACAAATTAAAGAATTGGCTCAATTTAAGGCTGAAGTTGATCCTCGTATGGTCAAAGTTGAAGCTTTGAATAGGTATTCTTTACTATCTTTTTCTATATAATTATTTGTATCAAATTAAACATTGTTAAAAATTAATTTTTATATACATAAAATTCATTTACAGAATATTTGAGTATGCTACAAAATTATTAGTAAAATAACCGAAACTTATATCTGTATATACATCTATTGTAAATGCACATAACTTTATATAATATATATGCTAGACGTTTGATTACTATTTTAGACTATTAATTTGTACTTAGATAACTATTTATAAAGGTAATTCAATATAATTAATTGAAAAAACAAATTTTAACAGACAAGCTACGGAATTAACTGAGAGAACGTCATCAGAGCAGGCTCAAGCTATTAAAGAGCCACTAGGAATAGTTAACCGAAGATGGGACGAACTACTCCGTGGAGTTGTTGAGCGCCAACGTCTACTGGAAAACGCATTACTGCGACTAGGACAATTTCAACATGCTTTAGATGAACTACTTGTCTGGATCGATCGAACAGATCGAACGCTTAATGAACTACGACCAGTTGCTGGTGATTCCCAAATTATAGAAGTTGAACTCGCCAAATTAAAAGTTTTAGTTAATGATATTCAAGCCCATCAAACAAGCGTTGATACTCTAAATGATGCTGGACGTCAACTGATTGAAGATGGAAAGGATACAGTAGAAGCTTCTACTACTACCGAGAAACTTAGCACATTGAATCGACGCTGGCGAGATCTTTTGCAGTGTGCTGCGGATAAACAGCGAGAACTTGAAGATGTCCTGCGCGAAGCTCAGTCTTTTACTGCTGAAATTCAAGATTTGCTCTCATGGCTGGGTGACGTTGATAATGCAATTGTTGCATCAAAACCTGTAGGTGGTCTTCCGGAAACGGCATCTGAACAACTGGAGCGTTTTATGGAGTTATATAATGAATTGGAGCAAAATCGCCCTAAAGTAGAAACAGTTTTACAGCAAGGCAAGGAATATATGAAACGCACGATTGATAATAGTGCATGTGGCCTTAATCACAATCTTCGGACACTTAAACAACGTTGGGATAATGTTACTTCTCGAGCCAATGATAAAAAAATCAAACTTGAGATAGCTCTAAAAGAAGCTACTGAGTTTCATAATGCACTTCAAACTTTCGTTAATTGGCTTACAAATGCAGAAAAAATTCTTACAAACTTAAAGCCAGTCTCGCGAATTATGGAAACTATTCTTGAGCAAATAGAAGAGCATAAAGTTTTTCAGAAAGACGTTGGCATTCATCGAGAAACTATGTTGAACCTCGATAAAAAAGGAACACATTTAAAATATTTTTCCCAAAAACAAGACGTTATACTCATAAAAAACCTTCTTATTAGCGTTCAACACAGGTATGTTATATTTGTATTTAAATATATCCATATATTTATTTCATTATAACTCGGGAAATGTATGTGAATATAAAATCATTAAATTCTTAGATGGGAACGAGTTGTTTCCAAATCAGCCGAGAGAACACGAGCTCTTGATCATGGATATAAAGAAGCGCGTGAATTCCATGACGGCTGGTCAAATCTAATGAACTGGTTGGATGAAACTGAAAAGACTTTAAATGATGTTGTTGATAGTTTGGGAGGTAATGATCCTGAAAAAATTAAAATTCGCTTGCAAAAACATCGGGAAATTCAAAAGGAATTAAGTGGAAAGCAAAACAGTTATGACACAATTATGAAAAGCGGTAAGATACTGAAGGATAAAGCACCTAAAAATGATGAACCAGGACTTCGTGAACTTTTGAATGAATTGAAGAATAAATGGACGAGGATTTGTAATAAAAGTGTCGATAGACAGAGGAAGTTAGAAGAAGCCTTACTGTTTTCTGGACAGTTTAAGGATGCTGTACAGGCATTACTTGACTGGCTGCAAAAAACGGAGAAATCGTTATCTAATAGCGGACCACTGTATGGTGACTTTGATACCGTAATAAATTTAGTCGAACAACATAGAAATTTAGAAAATGATTTAGCATCACGTGCCACGCAGATGGACTCAGTTACTAAAACTGGTCAAGAACTTGAAAGTAAAGCTACGCTCGAAGATGCTTCCACTATTAGGTATCAATTATCTGAACTACACTCGCTTTGGAATATAGTTACAAGGCTATCAAATAGCAAGTCTATAGGTTTAAAAGAAGCTCTTAAAGATGCTGAGCAACTTCACAAAGCAGTTCACATTCTTCTTGAATGGCTCAGTAATGCCGAAATGAAGTTACGTTTTACTGGACAATTACCTGAAGACGAACAAGAAAGCAAAAATCAACTTTTAGAACACGAAAATTTTCTAAAAGAATTACGAGCGAAAGAGATTGAAAAAGATAATACTCTTGAATTGGCCCGTATCATTCTTATTAAAGCACATCCCGATGGAATTATTGTAATAAAACACTGGATTACTATTATTCAATCTAGGTGGGAAGAAGTAGCTACTTGGGCGCATCAACGTAATCAAAGACTTGAAAACCATATGCAGGGCCTTCAGGTGATTTAATTTTTATTTTCAGCGTATATTATTTTATTGTTAATTATACTGTATAATTATTTACTTTTAAACGTCTTATATTATTTATTATTTGACAGGATCTTGATAACCTACTAGAAGAATTACTTACTTGGCTCGAAGGACTTGAAAATACTTTGATTAACCTAGAAGCTGAATCTCTACCGGATGATCGTTTTACTCTTGAAACGTTTATTTCCGAACACAGAGAATTTATGGAAAATACGGCTAGACGACAAAATGAAGTAGATCGTATTTGTAAAGCACGCCAAATTAAACCTATTAAGGATTCACGCAAATTGAAGAGCAAATTATCTACATTTATGTATGTTTGCATGTATAATTGTTATTATTTTTCATTATTATTTTTCATTATTTAGAATTGCTTATTAAGATCTAACTTTTATTGTTTTAATTCTTTGTATAAGTCTAACATTTTTATTAATATTAAACTTTTTCGTACTTTAAAAGATTGGTAAATTAGTTTTGTATTTCAATTTTATCTGTGAATATTTGTTCATTTTTATTATTTACAAAATAATATACACATTCATGTTTTGGTATGTTGTATTCAATTTGCTAACTATAAGAAAGATCAATATCAAGAAAATGATAGCGAGCAGCTACCTCTTCATAAGCAAAGGTATGAGTTAACAAAAATAAATAGAAACGTAGTATCAAATAGTTTTAAAGGAATTTAAATTTTTTTTTTAATTTTTAATTTATTTTTTTTTATTTTATCCAAATTTTAATTTTTTTTAAATTTTGTATAATCAATTTTCACTATTATTATCATTCTATAGCTTCAAAGGAAGTCGAGATCTATTCCAGTCGCTTAAGCGTGGAAGGTATAGATTTTTATTTGTTATTGCCTGTGTCTACTCATACATAAATATTTATTTAAAAACCTATTTTATTTTTATTTTTAGAAGAAATTGTTACATTCCAATTTATCAATTTTTAATTCACTTAGTGTAATTAAGTATTTGATGTTATAACAACAACTGTAGTACATAATTAGTTTTTTATTTTAATAATATATAAATATAGAAGATAACCATCTTCAGCTTTAATTATTTGGATTGTATACTTAAAATATCAAATTTGTATTACATATTTCTAATTCTATTATTATATATTTCTAAATTTATATTGTTTAGATTAAATACTTAATTATATTATAGTAGATAATATAATACGATACATATTTATATAATTTTAAAAATAATAATTTATTAATATAAACAAGTATACAATAGATAAGAAATTAAAATTACATATTTCCTAATTTTATATAAGAAATTTTTGAGTGATTTGAGGCATGTTATTGTTTAGCCGAACCAGTCCAGGTCGTGAAAAAACACCAGATCCGTCACTGCCTCATATTGGTCCACGCTTTCCACCAAAAGGAAGGTCTTTATACTTTATATACGATTATATTATTGTATACATCGGTATCAATATTTTTTAATTTGTTTCTATTATTTCATAAATTATGGATATTAAATACAGAGCATTATATTCTATAATCACATTTTTTAAATAAATTCATGAATTTGTCTTGCATAGATAAATTAAGGTTTAGTCTATTTTTGTTACTAAATAATATTGACATTTGTAATGCAACAGAAGAATAACGTTTATAATCTTATATTTAGTATATTAAATGATTAAAATTATCTTTTAAAATATTTTATGTTGTGGTGTTGTAATTAAAATTTATTTTTTATTTTATTCGACATTAGTAAAGGAACTGAGCTAGAGTTTCGTAATCCACGAGTCAAATTTCTTTGGGATAAATGGAGAAACGTTTGGATGTTGGCATGGGAGCGTCAACGGCGACTCCAAAATAAGTTAAATTACATTGAAGAATTGGATCGAGTTGCAAATTTTAATTGGGAAGAATGGCGCAAAAAAGTAATTGCTTTATTTAATAAATGAATAACTGTAGTGTTCTATTGTTTATATTATTAAAAAACGATTTTTATTTTTATAGTTTTTAAAGTTTATGAATCACAAAAAATCTAGATTAACGGATTTATTCAGAAAAATGGATAAAAACAATGATGGACTTATACCAAGAGATGACTTTGTTCAGGGGATTCTTAATACGAGTATATTTTTACTACACAAAACATGAATGAAATAATATGTTTTTAAATAAATAAGATACAATGTCATTAATTATAGAATTTGACACATCTCGTATGGAAATGGGCGCTGTTGCTGATTTATTCGATCGTCATAGTGAAGGTCTTATTGATTGGAAGGAATTCATAGCAGCTTTGAGGCCTGATTGGGAAGAAAGACGCACATATAATGATACTGATAAAATTCACGATGAAGTTAAACGTTTAGTGATGCTATGTACATGCCGACAAAAATTTAGAGTATTTCAAGTAGGAGAAGGAAAATATAGGGTATGTAAAAAAACATTTATTAATTTAGCTATTTATATTTTAATATTTTCTTATGTAAATATTTATATTCAGTTTGGCGATAGTCAGAAACTTCGATTAGTTAGAATTTTACGCTCAACTGTTATGGTTCGAGTTGGAGGTGGATGGGTTGCTCTAGACGAATTTCTTTTAAAAAATGATCCATGTCGCGGTAAGTTTACAATTTATTTTTTAATCCTAATTGTAATTTATACTAAAATAGATTATAACAATTAAATTTATAACTTTATCATACAATTTTATGATCTTTTATTTGCTTATTTTAAATTATCTATATACTATAAATAATTTATCCTTTTTTTAGATATTAAATGGAATATTTTATTTATTTAATAATATATATTTTTTACATTCATCAATTATTTTCTAGAATCATACATTACTTTATTATAATTAGTTCAGCTATTTCCACCCTATTTAAAAATACTAAATTTATTAAATAAAGTCTAAAAAATTTTACTTAAATAAAATAAAAAATTGTAAAATTAATTTAATTAATATTCTTAATCTCAACTCCTGAGGTAACTAAAATGTGATTAACTAAATAGCTAGTTGTATCGTGAATAACAAGGTAAATACTGATGATAATGTGTATTCGCTTTTATTGCTTCTGCTTAGTTTGTAGTTAACATCATATAAGACAATATAATTTAAATTTTGTTTCTTTTATGTTACTTTTTATACTGTATAGAAATAAAAATTTAGTATATAATAAAATTAAAAAACGGTTAATGCAATATCGTATAATATAAATAAAATATTGGTGAACTTAATAACAATGCTAGCTAAATATCTTATTTTATTTCTTTTTTATATTTACTGTGCTGAAAACTGTTTTGTTATTTTCAATTAATCATCTCTATTATTCACTTAAATTATAAATTTTTTTAATACCAATGTCAGATGCTAATAAATGAGTCACTTAAGAGTTGGTGTCCACTTAGTGAAACTTGCATACATAATAACTTTAACTCAGTTTTAATCTGCCTATGAATCTCTACTGTTTAATTAATTTTATGTTAATTTTTATTAAAATTTGAAATTACTTTATATAATATAGAATCCATATTTTTTATTTTTAAATTATTGTCTTACCTTATTTATAATCAATTTACAAAGTTGTCATTTTATTTATTTTATATTTAATAACAATTATTTTAATTATTTAAATAAATAATTAAAATGTGTATGAACAAAAAATTCAATTTTCAATATATTTCTTTTAATAAAATTTTGTTTTATAAAATGGTTATGTAAATTTTGTATTTGTGGTGTGATGAGTTTTATAAAATTTATAAGAGAAATAGATTTTTCATTCTTACAGTATATGTATTAAATTAATATTTTTATTTATTAATATAAGAGCACTTATTAAAATTATTGAGCAACAGTAACTAATTCGTTAATATTAATGTCTTTGCTGTTCACTGTGTAATAATAAACTGAGTTATGAAACCCATTTATACAATATATATATATTGTACCAATTATTTCTATTTTTAAATAATTTTATGATGAGCTATAAAAAATATTTACGTAATTTTATTTCGCTTTATAAATTATTTTCAATGAAATTTTTGTTCTTGTAAATGTATTTTGTCATATATATGGATACGTATGTATATGTGTATATTTGCATATTAAAATTTTGCCTTATATTTTATTATTTTATGTATACAATTCTTATTGAGATTGTTTTCGAAAAATTCCTGCATCTCCCTTTTAATGCTTCCCGACTAACTGCGTGCACGTAACCTTGAATATTAGCCAAAGGAAGAACGAATATTGAGCTGAGAGAACAATTTATACTGGCGGACGGGGTGAGCCAATCTATGACAGCCTTCAGGTCCAAACCAAACCCCACTTCCGCACGCAACCAATTGTCGTCGGCTGGACCGATTACTAAGGTAAAGGCCTTTTAACACCAACCTTTCATTTTAGTTTATTTTTTATTCATTCATTTAAAATATTCATGAAAATTTTTCTTTTGCAATATTTTGGAAATATCTTTTATCTTATACAGTATTCTTTGTTATGATTTTAATGTATCTACTCGTTACCAAAAGATTTGAATGATATGTTTTTCTTTTTTAAGTTTTTTTTCGTTAAGTAGTTTAATCTTCTTTTTATCTACTTGTTATCATCAATACAAATTTAGCTTATTACCTATGTATAATATATAATTGTGTAAATTATATATAATATCCAACTGTGTAATTTATACAACATAATGTATAAATTAATTTTAATAATTATATAATTTTAATAAAAAATGTCCCTATGCATTATAATTATAAAATAAAAATATTAGTATTTTATTCCTGGAAAATTTATCAAATAATTTATACACAAATATAAATTTCCTTTATTATTTAAACATGTATTAAAATTGTTGAAAATAATTATATTAAAATTAAATACATAGCTGAAATGATTCCATAATAAAATCTCTATTCTCTGATCATGTAAATAATTCTTAGTTGGTTCATTTTATTTGTTTTATGCAATTGGAATTAAAAAATTTTTTTTTATTATTAAAGTAATCATTAATACATATTTTCTTTCTTATTTTTTTTTTGGATTTGAAAATACGTAATTGACTTTTTATTTATCATTTGTAGCTGATATATAATTTTTTTATTTCAAGTTTGAAAACATGTAATTTTGACCATAAAATATCATATAAAAAATAAATCTTCGTATGATTATGGTAAGTACAAGTATATATAATAAGGACCACTTATAAGCTTAAGGTTATACAGCAGTGTACGTGGAATTTCTTTGATTGTAGATGCTTTTTTCTTATTTATATTCACGCTGAAGCTACAATTTTAATTTTTCTTCTATAAATCGCACTTTTGACTACTTTATGTGAAAATATAAATTATCCATAGCAAGGCATACTTAGAAAAAATTTATTTCAATAGTTTAAGGATGAAGCATATAAAGCAAATAATTGCTTTGCGATATACATACCTCAGGAGATGTGATTTTTGTCATCAGAAGTTTTCCATAAATCGTTGATTTCATGTTTATAAAAAGATTATAAGATTTAGTTTTACTAATTCAATTGTCTTTTTTTTGAGATTACTGAAATAAAACGGTTTATTTGTAATAATCTTTTTAGTAAACGATTGAATCCTTGAATTCAAATAATTGTTGGTACATAAGGGCGATAAGAGAAATTTTAGCTAAAAAATTAGTTGTTACTAACAATATTGATTTGCGGTATAGCGGAGGAGTTTATGAGTCAACTGATGCCGATTTTTGAGAGTTTGAGGCAAAAAGAGGATCTTCCATGTTCGTATCCTCTCCACATGCACGCTCCCTCTTATCATTGGGTAAATAATAAGAATATCTTCATTTTTCTGCTTCTTCGTTATCTGTTGATGCCAAACCAAAATATAGTATACTTTTTTTGCACTCTATATGCTTTCCATGTTTGCTTTGTTATATTTTTGTTATAGTAAGATAAATGTAATTGATTATATCGTATATGTTAGGGAAAAATGGTTAGTATTATTAAATAACTCAAAAAATTTAAAGCCAATTTGTTTAATATTAAGACTGATATAAATTATAATTTTTGTTCAATATTGATATAAATAATTATTGTATAATTTTTAACTTGAAATTATGCATTGAGTTATTAATAACTTTTCATTTAATTAATATAAACATTATTTGTTATTATTTCTTTTTACACTATTCTAAAATAATGTTTTATAATGTAAGTAACTTAAAATTAAGAAAAAATGTTAAATAGATATTAAGATAGCTTTGTTAATTTTGAGTAAAATAAAATAAGAGTAAACAATTTTAATATAATAAATTCTGTTAAATAAGTACACAGTGGCATTTATTAAAGGTATTTGAAGTCATAAAATAATTATCAATTTTGACAATTGTTTAAATATATTTGCATGTTTTTAATATTTAATTATGCTACGTGCTGTGTTTGCCAGTTTAATTCTGAAGATACATGAAATAAACTATGTATTTCTGTATTATCTACATTTAAAAAAAATAAAATTTTAACAATTAAAAATATTATCTTCATTCAAATAGCAATTCGTAATTTGCTTATTGTAGCATTCAAGTTGTTCCGTTAATAAATTAAATAGTATTTGTCATAATAATAAATAAGGTTGAAGTGTCAAATGCTAGGAGGAATTGGTATGTATGTAATTAGTGTTAGCTATATTGCTATTCTGTTACTTAGATGCTATTTAAAAAAATTTTTAATCAATAGTAATGCTAATATTTCGAGTTTTATATTAAATACTAAATAAGGTTATCAAAATATAAGAATATATGGCCATACAAAAAAATTATTGGCTTATGAATTAAACATAAGTTTTCCTTCTAAATCAAGTATTTATAGCATAACATAAATGTTTTTATTAATTACAAAGCCACTTTTTTAAAAATGTGTAGGTGAGAGAACGTAGTGCTCGAAGTTTACCAATGGGACAAATGAGAACTTCACGGACATCATTGAATGTTGGTGCATCTGACAGCCTTAGTGATAACGAAAGTTCTTTTCGTATTTCATCCAGGAAAATAAACACATCTTATAAACATACTTTAACACCAGGTGAGAATAATTTGGGTTACGATGAAACATAATAAATTAATTCAAAAATTTTATCACTATCCATATATATACATATATTTGATTAGGAATGCAAGCATTGTACATTGTTCTTGGATTAAATATATTTTTAAATAAATGTTATTATAGAAATAGAATATGTAGAATAGAAAAACATTTTTCAAGAAAAAAATTTATTTCATTAAAATAAATGATTATTAATTATTTATCAAGATGGTCAAATTATCTGATTTTCGTCTAAAAATTAATCAGAACAAGTATTAAAAATGTTATTGTTACACATACACTATATATTTTATATATTGTCATTCGTGAACTTAGGAATGATAAAAGCATTGATACAATGTTTAATTATAGGAGGTAGTCATCCTTCTAGCAGATCAACAAGTCGACCAACTAGTAGACCAACATCACAACAAGGCAGCAAACCATCTAGTCGATACGGTTCAACGCAATCGTTAGATAGTACTGGTAATTTATATGTGATTAAATAGACGCATCATTTTAGAATTATATAGTATTAGATTCAAATAATTTATAATTAAGATTAACTATTTAAAAAGATATATTTTGTGTAATATTATACGAATGAATTTGAAATTTTTATGTATATAATAAGTCAATTTCAGCAATTATTGAAATTCATTAAATTACTACATTGATTTAATACAGATGATCCAAGTATTCCAAGTCGCATTCCAAGAAGAATGAGTGGAAATACATCTGTTTCTAGTCGACGTAATAGTGTATCCAATAAAAGACTAACTATTTCTAATGCGAATGGTTCTATTTCTCGACCACGTACTCCAACTGATTTAGGCAGTCCCACCAGTGGTACACTTTCCAGGTTTGTTTTAAAACCTATAATTATTTTGTGGTTTGGTTTGTGGTATAATTATATGGTGCAATAAAAATTTAAAGTAAGAATCAATTTTTTTGTCTATGTAAATAAATATTCACATAAGTTAATACAAATTATTATTAAAAATATTTAACTGTAACATAAATTTTATGTTTTAAAATTAAAGTGCATTAGAAAAATTTTTAAATATTAATTTTTTTAATGCAAAGTTAAAAAAATTTTTTTTAACTAAAAGCAATATATCTTACTTAAAAGATTATTTTAGATTTTGATAAAATAACATTCATAAAGTTTGAAACTAATTATATATTTATAATTTATGATTAAATTATAATTGATGTTCAAATGTCTTTTAGGTTAAGTGCAATGAATCGAGCTTCAAGTATACCAACTCTGACAGGTGTTGGAACATCAATTAGGTAAAATAGTATTAACCATTTAATTTAATATTACTAATTTAATTAAATTTCTTTCTGTGTTATATAATATCCATTACATTTTTAATTTACTACCAAGATTTTTAGTATATTTTTATGATATTATTCAGTTAATACTTGAATACGAAAGTGTTCCTTTAGATTATAAATTGTAAACTCTAATTATTAAATTATTATAGACTTGACAACAAAAAAAATACAAATATAATGTGTAGAAATTGTATTAACATGCATAGAGTGAAAAAGGTTTTATTTATATATACAATGATTGCTTTGTAATACTGGTGGTGGATTTAATATCAATCATTTTATTTTTTATCATAATTGTTATTAATACTAGTATATCAAGTTAATTAGCTTGGTTTAATATAAAATTCAACTTTATTAAAATTTGCCCCACAATGTACTGATTTATTAATGGCAATGGTTTAGTCGATCACAGATTCCTGTGTGTGTGAAGACAGAGATAAAATCTCCCCAATCTACAATCAGTAATATATCCACTCATTCAGTGCAAAGTAACCAATCAACCATTTCTACTGATTCTACTGGGTATGCTGGCATGATTGACTCTTATAAGTTTTACAGGATTATTAAATAATTTATTTATCTGTTAATCAGGATAAAATATGACTTGAAAAATATCCCTTTATGATTCTTTAAAAAATTAATCTAAATTATACTGTTTCGATAAAATTTTGTAATGCTTTTTCTTCATATTTCAATAAATCCTACTAATATAATTTACAGCTATATTTGTAATATTGTTCTAATATTGCACTGTATTGAATAGTTAATCTGCATTTAATATTATTTCTTTTGTTTTAATAATTAAATTTTAACTAACCCATTCATTGTAAATATTAGGAGCAGTTCTCATACAAGTTCAACAACTAATATACCAATGGCTACTAAACAAATTAGATAATAAAATAACTGTTTACTGTTGCTTTACCAATCAAATTAATAATGATGCTTCTTGTAACTAATATTTAATGTTAAAGTTATATTATAATCTTATAATTATTTAATGCTTATATAAAATCTTGATTACTAATTTTAATTAATTGCACTAGAACAAGAACACCATCGAGTGGTACAAGTACGCCTTTACCTCCAGTTTCAAAGCTGACTAGAAAACCATCCGGAGCATCTGATACCTCTATGTCAATATCGATTCAAAGAAAAGGAAAACAGCCTACACCAATAGAACAAAGAGCTCCATTTAGATTGTAATATTAATCTCAAATTATATAAATGAACAATTTAAATTAGAAAAGTATTGTTAGAATATAACATAATAAAAGTTATTAGTTTAAAATTAAATATAATGCTTAAATTTTGTTAAATTTTATTATCTTAAAGTTAATATACTACATTGATGGTTAATAATTATAATATATTTAAAAAAAAAGCTGAAAAATGTAATTTTTTTCGAATTGCATTAGAATCACTTTATTTTTGATGTGTCTAACAATGGTAATAAAAATTTTCAATTGAATAGTTTTAAAAAGAACTTTGTATTTAACAGACAATTATTAAAGTATCTTAATTTATTTGTTATCAATAAAATAAATTCTAGATTTAGAAAAGAATACAAAATAAATAATTCAGAGAAGCGTTATTTGTAAAAGGATATGACCAGAGAAATTCATTGGTAAGCAATTTAATCTATTAACGTAATTGAGAATATTTCACTTTGAGATTAATATTAGAAAAAATATTAATGAATAGTAATCTGTAATATCACAGCTATCTTTATAGGCTGTATGTGGAAGCTGTTAATTTTAATTTAATCCTAAATTGTATTTTTAGATTTCTATGGAAATGGTCATTATCCTTATTTCATTCCTTTTGTAATTTGTTTAATATACAAAATTAGATTATTGTGTATACATAAATGAGAACTGTAACGTAATATGATAATGAATTGATTCATTCTTATAAAATATACATATAAAGATTTATTAAGTTTGTATTAATAATTTTTCCAACATTACAATATATACAAATAGAGGAAGCAAAAAAGGGTTTATTATTAATAATCAGTTGATACAAAAAGACAAAAATTTAATTCTTTAGAAAAAACATTAATTTGTTTTTATTTTTAGCCTGTAATATTTTAAACTGTATTTATACTTACGTAAGACAGGAAAAGCCTGAAAATGTTTATATATACTATAATAAAAAACAATATAACAATGTTTTTAATTGGTTAATAATTTTTTATATTGATTAGGCAAAAATTTAAAAAATTAATTTCAACAAAAGATATAATATTTTCTAAAAAATAATTTTTTTTATAAAATAATTTAAATTAACATTTTTTACATAAAGAAATAACACGATATTGTGATCACTTATAAAAATATTTAAAAGTTATTATTTAATTATTATTATTTAATATATAAAGAATTACAAATTTTATGTAATAACTACATAATAAATTAATTTATATATTATTCATATTAAAATGTCAACATAATCCAGTTACTTTTTAAAATTGTAAAAGATGTATAAGGTTAATGTTTATATTTTTTACCATTGAATTTTGTAAATAATATATGATGAATAAATATTGAATCATATATTAAAATAAAATTTTGTATTACATAATTTATATATTTATAAATGTAATAGAATCATGAGTTACATTTTACTAATTAAAACTATCATTTATTTTTATTTTTTTCAATAAAATATAAAATTAATTTGATGTATTTAATACCATCCAGTTTTTTAAATATCTTAAGTTTTTCAATGCATATTTATTTTTCTTGCTAATTGAATAAAAATAAATAAAAGGCACGATGTATAAGTATATGTATAATTTTGTAACAAATATAAATTTTTAAATAATATCTATATCCAACTATTATTCGAACTAAATATGTACATATTATATTAAGATAAAACTGCAAGTAACGGAAATACAGTAAATTTAAATATAATGCACTTTCATTTGTATATTCAGTGCTCAGATTATGAAACTAATATAAAAATTATAAAACTAATAAGTTAGCCTTTTATGTTTTTATGCAGTAAATCGAATATTCTAGTTGAAGAATGAATACTCACCAAGCTGTGGAAACTCAAGACACGAAATGGTTCTCCAAATTTCATCTTTTAAAATTTTATTATCTAAGGATAAACTATCCTAATCGCTGTGTAATGCATAAAAGGTACTAATCATTTATTATTTGTAGAAAACGATATTGATTTTTCGAAAATTTTAGTTATACAATATTTTTGTTCATTACATAGTTGGTGAATCAGTAAAAATGTTTTCGTGAATGATTTTCTAAATTTTTGGGTTTAAATAATTAGGTAACTTTTAATAAAATTATAAAACGTTATATCTTTGATACAACAATCAAATTAAACAAATAACATTGTAGCTAAATAATGTAATTTAACCAAATGATGTTAACTTTATAAAATGTTGAGTCGAGTGATTGATAGTTGCGTGTATTCATTTGTAATTTAAATATATTTAAGTCATTATTGTTGGTGCATATATTACTATAAATTTCTTTGATTTGATCTTAAAGTGAATTTTAAATGAATCCATAGTTTGTGAATAGTATATAAAATTGAGTTGATTATTGATGATTTTTGTTATGGGTTAAGGTGTAAAAATAAATCCAAACCAACAAGTTGATGTCTTTGTCAAGGCGTATATTATTGAACTTCTTTAATGAAAGGGAAGTTTATTATTTGTGTTTAATGCTTAGGATTATCCTTTGATATCATACTCCAAATACTACAGCGAACACAAACTTCTCAAATTTAATACTATAAGTTGTTCTAACTGTTGTGAACTTACTATTCATATATACATATTTGTAAATTGCCTAATTCTGTGTTCATTATCAAGTATGTGAAAGTATGTGATTTTCAATCAATACACTCCAAGGAATGAGTTATATATTATTTTTAATATCTTGAAATAGATTGTTATTTTGTTAATTAATCTATGTTTCAGTTGCATGGGTTTTTGGATGTTATAAATAAAATAAATATGATACAATAATTTACATATGCACTAGTATTAATATATCTGTACTATAAAATGCAATTTTCAATTGTTATTCAATTAAATAATTTTTACAATTTTATTTGTGATATAATTCAATATACGCTTGTTCGATAGCTTTATAATAATTTACCACCAACCCTAGCGGTTGCTTGGGAAGGACTTAAGTGGAAAGGCTTTAATTTAATACAGTGTATGCTTTTTCGTTAAATATGGTTTATTATGGTTAATTTACAATTACATTATTGTTGTGGTGGAAGGGTATATGCTATGTTCGATCATTATGATGCAGTTGCTTGGAACTGATTGTGTGGTGAACAGGTTACCTACACAAGATATTCCTTGAGGTTAGTGATGATGTTGATCTTGTAAGTTGATCAGCAACTGATTATGCACACTTTTTATTAGTGAGTATGGTTTTCTATGTTAATGATAGCCTTTGCTAATCTTGTAAGGATTAGCAACAATTGTGCATATTTCTGGTATACGTATGTCTTATGTTATTAATAATAGCTTTTGCTAATCTTGTAAGGATTAACGATTCTGCCTTAGATTCGGATTACTCACAGAGATACAGTAGCCTTGACCTGATCCGTATGATGGAGATGATTTGTTGCTGATTTTGTAAGGATTAGCAATGATTATGCACACTCTTTATTCGGAAGTACGTCTTGTGTAGTCTGGCGTTTTCTTGATATGAAAGAGATGGTTTCAACATTTTATTTATTTTATCAATTAACCTGCAAATAACCTTTTATTTGCAGCACAAGAAAATTAACGCGTCTTCCTTCCATGGCGTCCCCAGTAATAGAACTTGTTTGAAGGCGGCCCTGCTAAGACAGAGAGCTTGCTCGTCGCGTGCCTCCCATAAATAACCACTGGATTAAATTTAAATTAAATATACGTTGATATTTTTACCAGAAATGATATTCTCGGAATTTATAACAATTGGAATATTCTCTAAAATGATATTCGCGAGATTCTCGGATTCTGGAACAACGCTATTTAATAATTAGTTCTATTTATATTATAAATGGGACCTAACCATTAATTTTGTATATTAATATATTAGATTCTTTAGAAAAATTTAAATAATCATTAAAACTAATAATTTTGTTTTTATAATTTAATTGGCAATATAGGTAAATTTAATTTTTAATTAGTATTTTGTAGTGAAGTATGTTAAAATTGTAATATTAGATTGTAATATAGATTGAATTAAACATGGCCCAAAAGCAAAGAAATAGGTATGTGGAGTTATCAACCAAAGTATGCTGACATAATACGAGTAAAAATAGTAGCAAAACTTGTATTAGATTGAAGTCATAAATATCTGTATGAATACCTGCATCAAGAAAGATCTGGATACATAACCAGTTAGAGGAGAAATAATAAATTCAAGAATGTTAATCATTCAACATGCAACATAAATTATATAAAAGAAAATTCAATAAAATAAAATAAAATATAATTTAATAAAAAAAAGTTCAATATTTTCAAATAAAACATCAATGTATAAATTTAAATTATTTTATTAATCTAAATAAAATAAATATTTGTCAATTTTTTGAAAATTTTTGTCAATAAAATATAATCACATATAAATTAAAATTGATTATATTTATGTAAAAAGTTGTGTAGATAAATAAAGCTTTAATAGTTTTTCAGATAGTATTAAGATGAAAACTAGATTATACAGACTGTAGGAATAATTGAAAATAGCTGAATACGAATTTAATAGACTAGAAAATACGGTAGTCTTATATACTTGATATACATAAAGCAAGGAAGATCTTCACTTTCTGCAATGATTATGTCAGTGTTATCTTATTAATTAATTATATTACAATATATTATTATTAATATTATATTATATTATTAATTAATTATATTACAATATTTATTTTAGAACTATATGTGGATGTCTAAGACTATTTGACAAATAACTTACTATTATTTTCATATATTTAAATTTTGTAGTTAATTAGCTACAATGAAAGAATGAAAATATATTTATTATGTATTTATAATAAGAATTTATTATAAAATATAACAGTTTTTATATTAAATTGTTGCAAATAAATACAAAAGGCCTTTGATAAATTGAATAATTTCAGAACTACCTAATTTTGATTCTCCATAAACACGGTCAACAAATGAAATTGGTACTTCACCAATAGTATAATATAATTGTCTTGCTCTCACTATAATTTCCATTTGAAAGACATAACCTTTTGATACAGAAGATTTGATTAATTCTTCCAAGACGTTTTTCTTGTACAATCTTAAAATTGAAAAGAAATATTTTAATGTATTTTAATATTTTCCTATATTATAAATATATGAATAATTAAAAAAGAGATTAATAATATTATTGATCGATTAACTCAAAAACTGTAGAATTATAAATTTATAAATTATATATAAAGTTCTTACCTAAAACTTCCAGTTAAATCAGTAACTCCTGGTCTTAACATAATTTGAGTTATGAAATTTGCTCCACGGCTAATAAGTTTTCTTCTAAAATCCCATCCATAAACTCCACCTTTTCCACAATATCTTGTACCAGTTACAATATCATAATCATATAATTTTTGTTTTTTAATCATTCTTGGGATAAACTTAGGCTAATTGTTACAAAACCATTTTTAAAACTATAAAATAATTGAAACAACATTAAAGAAATACAAAAAATAGACTTACATGATGAGATAAATCAGCATCCATTATAACAATAAAACTACCAGTTGAATATTTAATTCCATGTATATATGCTGTTCCAAGTCCCATTTTTTTTGTTCTAGGTCTTAAAACAATTTTATCTTTTCCATATAAATTTTGAAGCTGGATTGCCATAGCAAAAGTTCCATCAGGTGAACCGTCATCAATGACAATTATTTCATACTGTAAATTTCTAAAAAAATATAGTTAAAACACCTTATAATATAATTCACAAAGAACAAAAATATACTTACGATTCATCCATATATTTAATAATAAGCCATATTATAATTGGTAAATTTTCTACTTCATTATACGTTGGTAAAAGTATAGAATATTTATTATATTTAATTTGTTTACTGATATCTTTTATTGATGAATTCATTTCTTTATTTAATAAATATTAGAAGTTCTGTGAAACATTTATATTTTTTCTATTATTTTTTTACAATATATTGAGTTATTAAGTCAAATCAACAAAAATAATTGTATCATAGATATAAACGGAAATCATCAACAAAATGAATTAGATGTCTTATTCAATTCATTTTCGCTGAATTTCAGATTTATTATTCCAATATATTGCAGCTTTTTCCAAAATAAAATAATTACAAAAATATAATTACTTTGTACTTTTAAAATATATGATTTCGAAAATATAAAAGGTATATTATACAATATAATAAAAAATAAATTTAAATGTCTGAAGTACAAATATAAATTCTGATGCACTTTCAGTATACCAAATCATATTGTATATCATGGATAATAATTCTAATTATTTCCAGATAATAAGTAATAATTTAATTTATTAAAATTGTACTTCAAATTAAAAATGATTAGAGTAGATTTCATCATTATGATAAAATACCTATTATTAGAGAGTATTAAATTCGAAACACGGAATTTTAAACAAATTAATTTAATGTTTAAAAGTTGACCTATAATTAATTTAATTATATAAAAATACAATAGCTAATTTCCATAAATGAATTAAAATAATTATAACATAAGTATATTTTTGTGTTTTTAAAATATATGGGAAATTAATACTTTTTAGATTTTTCAATAGTTTTAAATATAATACTAACATTTTTCGTATTTTTATTACTACAAATTTAGCATATTATTAATCTATATTTATCTCAAACTGCAGCACTATTTAGTACCACATAGCTTTGTTGAAATATTGTAATCGACCCATTACACATAAATACGATATTAAAAATGTTGTTATTTAATTGTTCGTATTTTAGATTAAATTTAATTTATTGTCCCGGAAAATATTAAGATAAATTTGTTTTTATAATTAATAAAAAAAAACGAATTTAACCTAAAAATTATAATATATACATGCATGATAAATGCTGATTACTACAAATTTTACGTAAACATAGTATGATTTACCAGTTTAAATCAATTTTTATAAAAACAAAATATGCATATGAAATATTTATTTTTAAATATTCAAAAGACTAATTAAATAAATATGCATCTAATTATCTTCTTTAATTTTGTGATTGTAACGGTCTTATATTTTTAAAAAAATCATAAAATTTCATCTGTCCCTAAATTTCAATGTAATAACTCGTAAAATTATTCTAATGTATTAACAAAATAATATTGACAGTACGATACATTTTTTAAATTTTAATTTTGTTTACTTCACTTTGTAATAATGTAAATTTATTTGTTTTTATTTATCACTGACAAAGTTATATAATCTCAATAAATGTTCAAAAAATCTTTCATTATAATCACATCATTGAAAACTAAATTTAAACTGTAATTGTGCATACCTCAAATATATATTAGCTATGTTCCTGTTGATTTTATTGAAAAATGTTGATATGTAAAAAAGTGATTTACACCATAAAAAAATTTTAATTTTCATAAATGTATAAACTGTAATGATTCTTTAAAAATCTTCAAAATTTATACATATCATTTATAAAAAAAATTTTACGAATTCTTGACAATGTGTTACTTTCAATTTCGTTAAAGAAAGAATGAGGAATAAAGATAAAAGGATATATATATCATGTTGCCAATGTATGCATCTTATTATATAGGAGAGATAATCATAAAAATAACTAATATACAAGATTCTTAACAAGCAAATAGTCAAGAGAGGCAAAGAAGGTAAGAGAAACAGTACAAATTAAGCGCATTTATCGGATATGAAGCTGATAACAAGTGAAAGAGGAAGATAGATAATGGCGGTTAAATCAAACATTTGTAATCATGTACAACATATAAAATATCTGTTTTTAAGACTATAAGAAGATGCGCACTCATTTCTAATCGTTTAAAGTCGATGAACTTTCTTTGTTTATAATAATATTCATCGACGTATCAGAATTAATTATGAATAAATCTATGAAACTAAATACATATATGAGTTGATATACAATTATGAATTACAATTAATATAAATTACACTGTTAAATGAAATCGTATTTAATTAGTCACTTGATTTGTGAAATGCTTAAGAGATACAATTATAATTATTGAGAAATAAGTGAAATAATGTACAATTCATACAACCACTACTTTGTATATTTCTCGATTTTTGTTTCACAATTTACATGTTCACACATTTATTAATGTTTTCAATTTATCATTACCTAACTATTTTGAATATTCAATAATTTCATATTTCCAATAATCATGTATTTCTTTGGCAGTTATTAGATACAAAATTATATTGTGCCAATTTAAACTCTTTTCAAAACAATTTATTTGATTAATATCATTGATCTAATCACAGCCACCCTTAATTAAATTGTTCAAAATTTTCTATGGCTAAGTTTTGCACATGTTGGGATAATCTTGATTAACTATGAAAAGTATAATATAACTATAAAACTACAAAAATTAAACTATAAAAACTAAAAATTTGACCAATTGCTTTATTAAAACTTTATAGGTAAAAATGTATATTAATGCATTCTGATCGAAACATAAGATTCTTAAATTATATAAGTATTCAAGATTTTAACAATATCTTATCCAGTGATTAATTTATTCTTGTCTTATATTAATTTTTTTTATTAACCAAATAAAAGGAAATAAAAGGGATACTGATGGAATCAAAATGTAGATAAATTAATTGTATCCCATAGTTAACAACTGCTATATCAAATTTATTTTTTCGTTTTTTAATTTTGAAAAAGAATTAGTATTTTTGTCAATAAGAAAAATTGTTTTTGCAATTAAATATTTTTATTAAAAAATATATATTTCTATTACATAATATATTATTTTCTATTTTACTTGGATCAATTATACTTATCATAAATGATAGAATAGCTTCGGTAACCCCTCTATGTATATCTTAATAATTAATTATTATACAATTATAGTCTTGCAATGACGTATTATGGAATGTAAATTATAATAATATAGAACGATATTATTTATTGCAATATTGTAATACAAATGTTATTTGATCTTATTTAGGTTGATCTAGCTCTGAAAACAAGATGTAACAATTACTTTAGATTATTTAGCAGTGTAATTTTCAATTACTATATAAAAGCCATAATATAACTCATGATTAGTTATTATAAATTTTATTGTAACTTATTTTATGGATTGATACTAATAATTTAAATACTATAAGTTAAATTAGATATAACAGAATTATTACACACCTATATATGGTATTATATTTTTCAATATGTCGTTTTCTTAATAATATTAAATATAAAATTACAATTCCTAAAACTGATATAACAGCACCACCAATATCTATAATGTAATAACAAATAAATAAATGATCATGAATTTATTTGTGTATTACGGACTTCAAATTATGTATTAAAAATATATTCACCAAAATAAAAACCAGATTACTTACATACACTACTATAAAAAGTTTCTTTATAATTGTGTTTAGTTAAACATTTTTGTAAATCACCTAAAGTTCCATTTATATGATCACATTGAACATTAAGTATTTCACAAAATAGAGGTAATAAATCAATATTGTTAAAAGGCTGCATTTTACATTCTGCTTTAAAAGCAGGTCCTACACCAAAGAAAAAAGGATACATTTCTGAAGCATTGTTGTCATATCCATGAACACCAAATTCAGATTTTTCATTAACTATGAAAATTAAAATTGAATTTTATTTACTTTTAACAAAACTATATATTTATGTTATGTTTTAATACCTGTGATATTGAATTCCTTTTCATACCAAGGAAAATTATCATAAAATGTTTCAAATGCATATCCAGGCTTAGCAACAACAAGTATAGGCCCTACTCTTGTATTGTCAGAAAAATGATAGATTTTAGGTATTTCTTTTTTTAAATATACATTAAATTTCTTTGTACGTTTTGATGCTATACTTAAATTTGTATATATTAAAGTCTCTTTGCCTACAACATAATAAATAAATAATTAATAAATAAAATAAAATATATGAAAGTAAAAGAATCAAGTATTTTAAGTATATATTTATTATTGAATCAATTATATTAGAGATATTATATATATTACCAGCCTTAGGATAAATATTTGTTACTGGTGACAATCCTGCATATATATAATCAGATGGATTGATATAATTTGTTAAATTTATAATTCTATCTATTGTAACTGTAGACATTCCATGATCACTTAAATGTATAACATTTACATCATTTAATGATTTTTCTTTCAAAGTATCATGAAGATATTTTGTAATATTATCTAATTTCACTAAGACTTTATTGAAATTTGCATTATTAATACCAATTCCATGGCCATGAAAATCTGGTTCTTCAATATACAACATCCCAAAATTAATAGGAGTTTTAGGGTGATTAAACCAAGATATTAAAATATCTATTCTTTTTCTCCATGACACTGATATATTCCATGACTATGAAACAGATTCTGATAATGGATTAGTTTATAATTTATTAAAAAAATAAAACTATTTTTGTAATTAACATTTATTAATTTATTTAAAATATTTATTTAAAATTTAAAATTATTTAAAATATTCTTTAGAATTATTAATAAAATAAAATTATAAAATAACAGCATATTTATATTTAAATGATCAAGTATTTTTTCTTCTAATATATGCGCATAATACTTAAAAAATAATTATATTTTAAATAATTAATATATTGATTAATTAAAATTTTAAATTATGTTACAAACTATATCATAAAATTTAATAAACCTACTAATTCAAATGTAGGACTTGAACCATGATATTTAAAACCAATACCAGGCCACATCATAACACCACTATGCCTATTTCTATCACTATTTTCATTAAGAATCTAAATATTTATTATATATTAATACATGAATTTATATTGAAAAATATTTATTTTTAATTATATTCAAATAACAAACCCATATTGGAAGAATATTATTATTATAATTATACAATTCTTCTGAATACTTAATTATCCTTCCTGATTTTTTATCATAAAATTCACTGTCAATAACTCCATGAGATTCTACAAATAATCCTGTAGCTATTGTTTGATGATTTGGAAATGTTTTTGTTATAAAAACATTTTTCATATAATCAACATAAGTGTTGTTTCTTTTTAACATTTCGAGAAAAGGTGTCATATTTCTATCAAAATAATCATATCTAAAATAAAAATATAATGTGTAATATGATATATATACTAACTGACCAAATTATGTATATTTACTTACTAAAACAAAATTTTTATTAAATTGAATTACAAATAATTTTTCTAATTATTTTTCATATTTAATAAATAGTACTGGAATTAAAATAACTAATTCTGTAAAAATATTTCTATAACATATTCTTATTTTACTTTTATATTTTATAACTTATATATATTTTCATTTCTACTTTTAAATAATAGAATAATATTAAATAATTTACTTTGCTTAGATACATAGATTTTAATATAAATTTTCTTTGTATATTAAAAATTACGATATATATATATCAATTTTCATAATTTTAGTTCTTTTAATATATCGTATATAACTATAACTTATTGTAAGTTGTTATTTGTTATATTTTCCAATAAAAATATAAACATTATATGATTTAAATGAATTTTTACATACCTAAATGCATCATAAGATACAATCAATAGTTTTGGTATATGCATTAAAAAAGGTTTAGCACTAGTATGAAATACAAGTAATATAACCAAAAAAGTCCAAAATAAAAAATTCATTTTTTTATATATATTTTTTTATCTTCTGGACAGCTGAATATAGAAATGAAAAATTTAATTATTAATATTACTTCTTTTATATAATAAATCAATACATTGTTTTATTAATACACATTTAGATTTTATCATAGCATCTTACATTTTTGATACTTCTTTATTTCTCTTTCATATAATTTTCTATAAAATGATATGATTTCTATTTTATAAATAAATTAAAATTTTTTATAAAAAATATGCCAAAAGGAATTGTCTTATAAACGTTTATTAGTATTTGGTTTATACTTTTATATTCAATCAAGAAATCTATAATTTAAATTTATAAAACTCAATATTTTTCAATCTAGTTAATTCAGGATACCTGCAACTTTTAAATTGTTCTGTTCTTTAAGTGGTATATATCTTTTATGATATGAAGAAAGAAAATTATAAGAAATAAAGAAAATTTTTTATTATAATTTATATACAAGAAGGTAGATTACAACTTGTGGCTTACTTTTTCGGTAGAAGGGCAAAGAGGGCTTAGTGTATATAATTTTAAAATAAAATCCTTTTTTTATTATTATTATAATAATCGCTAATAAATTGATATACAAGTAAATGAAGATTACATGGTTAAGGTTTTGATAATAATTAAAATAAAATAAAATCCATACATGGTACTGAACTGAATGTGAATGTAAGTTTTTATCGACAAAAATATAAGCATAAGTGATATGGCAATGGAATGATGAAAAGTAGAAATGGTGCTAAACCAGTAAATTACATTACATAAGTGTGAGTAATTTTAATACATTGCTTGAAATTAAACGATGAAAGCTGCTAGAGCAGTCATTTATATAAGTTTTGCCATCCTTAATCTAAAAAAATAAATACCAAAAATATTTTTCTAAAACTCTTATACTTGATCAATCGATTTACTTTCTATTACTCTTTAGGACACTGCTCCTTCATAAATAATATTTTATTAGAAAAATGAAGAAGTTATCAAATTTGTTTAACTTTTATAAATAGAAGATTATCATGAATATCTCGAATCACATTATATAAAATTCTTAAAGTGTTTTATTTGAATTTTGTCTGTTTTTGAAGCAAAATTTGTTCTACAAGAATGATATGCAACTAAATAGATTTCAATAATCAATGTGAAAAGTGGATAATGATAGAAATCTTTAATGAAAGACAGTAAACGTAACATTCATTCTGAATTGTGGCTTAATCAAATTGAATTATATTTTTATTATTTAAATTAGTTATTTTTAACATGAATCAATGGCATCAACCATTTTTTTTAAATTTAGACGACATATTTGTATTAGCGTTAATATTTCACATTATTTAGAAGTGGTAATAAAAATTATTTTGATAACTGTCAACTTGAGGAATGCAAAAATTACTAAGTATAATTTTTGAAGAAGAAAATTCACTTAAAGAATGTCATATAAGGTTATATCATTAAAAATTTTATTATTTTAAATTCATTTAAATTATTGTAAATTTTTAAATATTGAAAAGCTAAAAGCTATTTATATTTCATATTTTAATTTATTTATGCTAAACTTTAGAATATGTCTAATTATTTACAATAATTTTATTGCTGTAGCTAAGTTTTGTATTAAGGATATGTGATTTATAATTTATATTATTTTAATTATGTATTATCAAAGTATAAATATAAATATCAAAAATATTAAATCGAGTGAATAATTTATGAAGATATCAAATACTACTTTTAAGAAAGATATTAGGTCTGTTGTCATCACAAGCAACAAAGATTTACAAGGAAATAATTTATGTTATGTAATTTGTTGCAATTTTGATACATACTTATTTAACAATGAAATTTTTGTTTAATTAAATCTTTATATATCAAGTAATTATTTAAATTGACTAATTTATTTATTTAAATAATGCATTCAAGTACTACTAATTATCGATAATTTATTCAGAAAAATTTATTTTAAATTTATAAATCTTATTCTGCCTGTTCAGGATTGAACCACCCAATAAAAAATAAGAATTTATTGTTTGTTAAAATACTATTCCGATAAATTACATTTAGATTAAGGCGCAATACTTGAATTATACGTTACAAAAATTCATTGGAAATGTAGCCGCGCACTTTGTCCGCATAGCAACAACAGAAGCTTCTCGAAGTTGTCAAAGCTTGCTTCCAGAGAATTCACTAAAGCCTCCAGGAATTCATAACACCAAATGTACGCAATCGTATTTAAGAAGCAACGAACGGAGAAGAAAATATCTGTGAAAGTCGAACTCGTCTGAAGGAATCCCTGCAAGGTATATTATTATTATTATTGCTGGCCAGCTATTAATATTAGTTACACTAGTTGTAAATTCTCGTCTAATTCTCGTGACCGCATCTCGGTCTACATCTATCATATTTACTGATAGAGCCCGGCCTAATACTCGTTAGCAGGACGAGATCTTCCCGATCACGCTGCTCGAAACGAACGCAGCACACATCTACCGTATCAATGAAGCCCTCTGACATGAGTCCATAGTAGACCGCAAGAGAGGGCGCCGATTCTAACAGTAGACCCTGCCTAAGATTAAAATTAGTACTGCGAGTCATTACCGGTCACATTACAATAAATTGGTTCTGATCAAACCACTAAAGAGGGCGACAACTATTCGTAATAATTCCTACCACCGCCACTAACCGAATATCACTCAGTCAATTCCAACGTCGAGTCAAACGCCTAATCAATCGCGAGCCGAATCTCGCTTGGTACGATTTGAGTGTCGTCGCAAGCGTCGAAGCTCCGCGAGCCGACTAATGCCCAATATAATTCAAGCGTAACTCACACGACACATGACTGTCGAATAAGAAAGACTCCGTTGATTTATAAGCTAGAACCTGGAATTATTACTCCCGAGATACCTTACGAAGCTTGCACTCCCAGACGATCTTTCGACTTAATAATCAGCTGCCTAGTCACTACATTCAACAATTCTCACCATAATAAAGAACACCTACAGTACTGTAATAACTACTTAAATAAAGGTCACTAAAGCCAATTGTATTTACTCTGAGTTGATGCATTAACCTCTCACCTATCCCTCCCCCCATCATCATTAAACCGGTGGTACGGTCTAATCCACCCATCGTGATTTACGATCATACTGGTGGCTGGAATTCCAAACACTGCCGAATATTTTTCGTTTTATTTTTATATTCAGTAAGAACGTGATAAATTTTGATCAATGTTATAAATATACTTTATATCGTTTATATGTAATAGATTTGTTGATACTAATTAAATTTGTAAATTAGTAATTACATTAATTGAAATAGTAAGTTATATATTAAATTATTTTTAATTATTTTTCAGTTTGATTAATCATGTAATGAAATTAATAAATAAGATAATGATTAATTTATAAAAAAGTAAAGTTCATATTTAATATAATTTTATATTATTTGTTTACTTTTTCATGGAATAATGTTGATTAACATTGTTATCATTTTTTACTTAAAACAGTTAAAAATACAGTTCATTATTTTATTATAGACATTTTAATATTACTCTAGTAATTCATAATAAAATTGTTAATAAAAAATATATAACTCAAGTCAATAGTTTATATTTTTTTAATAGTAAAATTTTCATTAAATATATTTTCTAATTTGATGAGATTAACAAATTTCTTGTAATTTTAGATTAATTAATTTTAAATATAATTGGTTAAAAGTACAGTTTGAGTTGATCTAAATGAAAATGTAAATATATTTAGAATACTCAATAGTCTGTAATAAATTACTTTTATTGCATATATTTTATTTCTAAAACTATATTTTAATAATATTGGATTGTATAATCAATTTAAATTTTTTAATTTTACAAACTATTCAGGCATAAAAGGTGTATACTATATATTACTGCATGTTCCTCAGATTTAAAACATATTTAATATATGAAAAGAAGACATTATTATATTGTAATATATTGTAACATTATAAATTCATCTAAATTACATATAGTTCAATATATAATATTTTTGTAGTAGAATTATTGATTAAAAATTATTTAAAATAAAATTTTTTTTTAATATTGTATGTC